ATCTTCCTGTTTCTTTGTCTGTTTGCTGACAACAACAGTGAATGACTTGACACCGTCGATAACACGTCCGTAGTCCTCCAAGCTGGGAAAGCGCCAGGACCAGATGGAATCCCAGCAGAAGCTTTGAAAATAGACCCAGAGACAACAGCGGACTTGATGACGCCACTAGTAGAGAAGGTGTGGAAAGAGGGCAAAGTACCCGAGGATTGGAAGAACGGATACTTATTCAAACTGCCAAAGAAAGGAGATTTGAGTCAATGTAAAAACTGGCGTGGAATTATGCTTCTGTCCATTCCAAGCAAGATACTATGTCGCATCATCCTGGAGAGAATTAAACAAGCCCTAGATGAAAAACTTCGTCCGGAACAGGCCGGATTCAGGAGGAACAAGTCATGCATTGACCAAATCGCCACCCTACGGATTATCATTGAACAAAGTTTGGAATGGCAGTCACCTCTCTATCTCAACTTCATCGATTTTGAGAAAGCCTTCGACAGCGTCGATCGAGAGGTGATTTGGCAACTACTTCGCTACTACGGGGTGCCGCCGACAATTATACATCTCATCCAACAGCTGTATGACAACGCTGCATGCCAAGTAATCCACAACGGGAGGCTCACGGAATCCTTCGAAGTGAGGACGGGAGTGAGACAAGGCTGTCTACTGTCACCAATGATCTTCCTGATTGCAGTTGATTGGATAATGCGGCAGACAACGGCAACCAACGAGGGAACAGGCATAAAATGGACCGACACAAAAGCCTTGGAGGATTTGGATTTCGCCGATGATATATGCCTGATTTCCCACAAACTGGAAGATATGCAAGCGAAAAGCAATAAGTTGGCAGAAGAAGCAGCAAAGATAGGACTTCAAGTGAACATAGACAAAACAGAGGTAATGAAGATTCCTGGCCAACATCAACAGCAACAACCGACAACAATCAGCATAAATGGGAGGAACCTGAAGGAAACAACTTCTTTCACCTACCTGGGAAGCATCGTCTCAACTACTGGAGGAACTGACGAGGATATCAAAGCCAGAATCGGAAAAGCAAGACAAGTTTTCATTTCTCTCAAGTCTATGTGGAGGTCAACAGCATTCAGCGTCAAAAATAAGATCCGTATTTTCAACTCCAATGTGAAGTCAGTACTACTATACGGATCAGAGACTTGGCGTGTCACAAAGAGCAGCTCAAACAAGCTACAGACCTTCATTAACAAATGCCTTCGCTCAATACTCAAGATCAAATGGCCGGAGAGGATCAGCAACAAAGATCTCTGGGAGCGAACCAACCAGGAACCGATCGTGAAACAAATAGGCAGGAAGAAATGGAGATGAATTGGACACACTCTGAGGAAACCAGCAAGTGACATCACTAGACAAGCCCTCGAGTGGAACCCGAAAGGGAAGCGACGAGTTGGTCGTCCAAGGGTGACCTGGAGGAGATCATGTGAAGAGGAATTGAAAGCGTGTGGGCAGACTTGGAGCCAGGTGAAAACTACAGCAGAGAACCGAACGCAATGGAGACGCATGGCTGAAGCCCTATGTTCCTCTAGGAATTAAAGGAAATAATAATAATAATATACATAAGCAACTGATCAGTATTGATGACGCTTTATCATTCGTAGTATCCAATATATTGGCTGAGTAAGGATTCATTACTATAAGGATAAAATGTGGGAACTGTTATGGCAGTGTTACTCCATTATGGATAAAATTTTATTTTGATAAAATCACTCAGTGTGTTGTTATACAGTAAGTAATATTTACTGATGCCACCACGTTTCGAGCACAATTTCTCATTGCCACTCATAATCATATCAAGGCACTCACACGACTTTCTTGCTTCGTTTATTTGCATGAGTGAAAATTGATGGTTAGACATTTGAATAAAATCAGTATAAGACTTGCATGAAACAGAATGGAAGATAAATTGCATTTGGAGCGAATATTAGTATATCAGTAGCATGAGAAATAAGGCGAGTGCTGTTAGTCAATAAGATGGGAAATATGATGTTTTTATAGTAAAATAAATAAATAACTTGCTTGCTAGAATGTTATAGTGTGAATTGAATTGAATACATACTCAACGATACCATACTTGGCCCATGTTCTAAGCGACAGAGACAATGTTAAGCGTGAAACTTATGACTTGCTCTGTTATTAACGACATAATTTTAGGCTCTTTTATTTCTCGCTTATTTTGTATTGTTTAGTGAACTCCTTCTCAAACATACTTAGCTACCTAAAATATTAACATTGTACTTTACTATATTCCTTCTATTGTGTATCCACTGGTTCTGACTCTATTAGCACTATGAGTATTACAAAATTGTCCTGTCATTAACCATCATGTAATTATTAGTTTTATGGCTGTTTTTTCTTATTTTTCTATACTTTTCGGCAATATTAAACTGACAATCATTGGTTGTGAACGCCATAGTCACCACCTTAAAAAATTTTGTATTATTCAAGATTACTCACACTACCACCACAAACACTGCATTAGACTTTGGTACTTTTCCGCAATTATAATTATTTTGTGTTTATCCTGTTTTTTTTTGCTGTTGATGTCTTCAGATTTATTTTTTTGTTTGTTTAATACCTATTTTAAATGTCTGTAAAATTAGATGCAAATATTGTAGGTATGTGCTGAAAATTCCACACTGTACCACTAGTACTGTTTCTGGAATAAAGCATATTATTATAATTAAGATTATTTATTATCCTCTTCTGATTTGACTGATGGTAATAATATCTTCCATATCTCTGGTGTTTGCATTGAGTCACTTCTATTACATGTGTTGTGTTGGGTGTAGACTCGATGAACTAGGCAGGATTCAGTAATCAGTCTCTCTCAATCTCCACCTAACTGTATCACTCTTTGGAATTTTGACTCTTTCCCACCCACCCTATTGTGTGATTGTGTGTTATTGCTTGCATGCAGTGCTATTGCTGAGCTCTTTTCGGAATTACTCATCTTCACAGGATCAATCATCCTAACCTTAGCTGAATTCTTATGTTCTGACAGGCAGTCTGACTACCCCTGATCTTCTAGTTTGACCTATTTAGTTGACCTCACTCACAGTAATGTTTACTCATGTATATAAATGAAGCAAGAAAGTTGTGTAAGTGAGTGTTTTGATGTGATTATGAGTGGCAATAATAATTTGTGCTCGAAACGTGGTGGCATCAGTAAATATTACTTACTGTATAACAACACACTGTGTGATTTTATCAAAATGACAAAATTTTATCCATAATGGAGGATTGATTAATCACTGTAGCGTAACCCCGTCGTTATGGTGTCTAGTTGCACTGTCGCCGATTGGATCCCATGAGTCAACTTTGCAACATGGTCATCATGGTACACTTCGAATTTGGCATTAGATGATTGAAAGCAGTCGGGAGTAACTAATACCTTGGCCTGTGTTTTGTGCTCATTGGCACTCATTATGATAGAGTGTATGTGTACAGAGGCATGATCAGAAAGGCAAGACAAACCTCCATTATTCTGAAACTAGTGTAGAAGTCTGCTGCATTCAGAATAAGAAACAAGAGTCTCTGCTTCTTTCTATATGGTTCTAAGACTTGACAAATGCGTCACAAAAAGCTTTTTCAACAGGTACCTGCAGATTTTCATTTACAACTGTCTTTTCTAGCTTGATAGTGGAGATCATTATGTAGCTGACTAGAAAGGATGAGCAACAAGGAAACTGTGCCGATGAATCAGCGGAGAACCTATCACCCAACAGGAGATGCTGAAGAAAATCGAGGTGGATTAGACACACTGAAGAGACTGTTAGCTATGATGGAGAAGATTTGTAGCTCAGGTGGATGATTTTGATGTGATTTTGTTCTCTCAGCTAGATAGTTAATTTGTAATGCTTTCATCGCCCTACTAGGTAACATCTTCAGTGCATACTACTTCAATTTGTTGAAGTGAGCTTTTAGATTTCTCCACGAGTTTATTAGTCATCTCTCCTGGTGACCACCTGACTTTGAATGTGATTCGTTGTCTTTGTGTGTTTTCACGCACCCTCTAGGCGGCTACTTGTATTAGCATCGGTACTGATTGTTTCCTTGACCCGAAGTTTTTTAGCTTTCGTGTTTGACATTTCTTTCTTATAGATTGGTCAATTTTGCCTATGTCAATGTGTGTCCATTGTTAATTGACAGCTCACTGGAATACCACCAGTCTTCTAAAACAATTCTCTGCCATTCTTGGTATTTTTTTCTCTGTCTAATATATGAACGTTGGTTTGGTTGTCCCAGTGGAATTGATGTCTGTGGTTGTCTGTATGCTGCGAGGCGATATGAGGGAGTCGATTTCATGTCTTTTGACGGCTAGTTCATGATCATGGATACGAAGACTAAGAGGGCGTCGTCCACTTTGGCCACTGTAGTGTATTTTGCAATCGTTGCAATTTATTTTGTAGATGATACTGGTTTTATCTGCTTTCGCTGTTGAGTCTTTTGGTTGACACAGGGCTGGCTAACTGGCTCAGTGAAGTGATTTTGTTAGCTTGTGTGCGTCATCATTAATTCCTTGCAGTGATTTCTGAGATATTGTCTCTTATATATGGTAGGGCAATTTTCTTTGGGTAGAAATATATTGATCCCTTAACTAGACCTTTAGGATAGGCAGAAAACTTCAAAATTTACTGCCTCATGTTCGATAAAATCATGTGTAGACTCCTGGAAGTGCCGCCTAGTCAAAAATCAATTCCCCGAAACAGGTCTTTCATCGACCAGGCTATAAACTCTCACGCCTCTACTGTATGTTAGGTCTAATGATGTTATCCTGGAAGTGGAATGGAACTCGAACTCAGGATCCTATGCTGTCTGAAAGTTGAGCGCCTAAGTAGATGAGCAACGTCTCCTCACAGTCAAAAACCGCAAGTAGTTTTTATTCTGTATCGCGTCAACTATCTAATATATATATAATCGTGTTTTTAAATTAACAAACTGTTTTCCATTTATTATTATTTTTTTCAACAGATAAAATGTCCGATGAGGTTATTTCTTGTCTGGAAAAGTATATCCTCAACTTTGGTGTTTGTAAATGTTGTGCTCTACGCCTGACTAAGGGTTATCATTGTCAACCGAGTGATTTACTAAGCGCCTTTCATTCACAATCCTATTCTAAAGATTATGTGTGTAAAATATGTTTTGGCCTATTGCATCATTCATTGTTATGTGATATGCCATTGACGATGAGTACTAATCATGATGATGATGGCGAGAAATATGCTCTAGTGTATTTGTATAAAAAGATTATTGAATCAAAATATCAATTTACAGCATATCAACTTCGGGTAGGTGGTTAGTTTTGTGTATTTCTCTGCACTGTATCTCGGCGTTCTTTTTTGTTGTTGTTATTGACTGTACATTGTGGTTTTGCACTTTGTAACTTTCTTCAATTCTTCTCCCGTAAATTCATTTCTACGTTTTTGTAGTTCTTCTGAATTGCCTTTTTCTGTTCACCTATGCGTGCTACATGGAATGTGATAAGTTGAAGTGGTGCAGTTCCGTGCGATGTTCTATGTTGAAACCAGTCAATCAGTCAGTATTATTTTTAACCTTCATCGGTAGAATATAGTGTACTCCTTCTTGAATTCAAGCTGTTGTTTCTTTTTCAAAATTAGTTGGAGGATTTCATCATGTGCTGACATCAATTAGAGAACCATCGAAACACCTAGAAGTACTGCCAGACAGCTGGTTTGTTCCACTAGTTTGGGACTGGCTCTTCATCAGTACGCACCCACCGCCAGGATTCGAACCCACGACCTGGTGGTTTCAGGGCCATAGAGCTCGTAAACCATTGAGCCACTGGGACCCACTCTATCCAATGGTCAGCTGCCCATGAATTCCAACTTCTGCCAATTCATGATATAGAGCGACCAATTCGCGCAATGTCTTCTTCGATGAGTTACTACCTCACCTTCAACCTGCTGCACGCTACTGGTCACAGCTTCTCACTAGAACCCCAGGTTCACTGTCTGAATAGAGTCAGTCGCTAGTGAGCATCAAAATCAATAGAGAGAAGACCAGTAGTTCAGCGAAGAGTCTCTTTCCGGTGAATTCATTTTCACAGCTGTACAGTCGTATATATATATATATACATATATATATATATATATATATATATATATATATATATATATATATGGTTATTTTGTATGTATGTGTGTACATTAAATTTGTCAAGCGAAAATACAATTAGTTTTTGGTAGTGTTGTGTGATGCAAAAAGCGTTCAGAGGAATTGGATGTTGATATAAGAGTTTAGCAACATAAGTGATGAGTTATCACAAACGATTGTTAAAGAAGAGTTACGTAATAAAATGAATAGTTTGATGAAAGAGTTGTGCTCAGGGTGTACATGGAAACAAAATAACATATGGAATTACGAAAGGAGTTTTAAGTAGTTAGAAAAGGAAGCTAACAAGCAAAGGTTAAGTCAGATCAACAGAGTTGTTACCATGATAGTAGAAGTGGGTGAATAACTTTCTGCTGCAATGCAAAGAAGACGAAAACGTATTGTTCTTGGCTGGTTGTTCTTCACTTTGTAGATTACTTTGAAAGAGGCGTTTGTTGTTGTGATGAGATGACCAATGGTGACGAGATTTTCGATGACTGCGCTCCTTATACAGCCACTACTTCCTTTTTGCAGCCACGCTGGATAGTGTTCTTTGGCGCTTTTTGACAGGATGCGCATCGAACGACCGATGTACCTGGCTCCACAGCCACAGGTGAACTGATATATACACACATAGAAGTTGTCAGGTGCGAGATCTTATCCTTCGGGCTTCCTCAGATCAGTGGGTGACTGGAGAACACTACTCTCAGTATTGCCGCGAAGAAAGTTCTTAAAGAAGTGGAAATTCTACTCCTAAGGACATCACTGAATAGGTCACCTTTGAAGTCCCTAAGGATTCTCTATCTGATTGTGTCTATAAAATAAAATGCTTCGAATGTGGTGCGATATACATCGGACAAACATGCCTAGAGAGAAATCAAGGTAATCAGAAGAAATCAACATCATAGAGCCGCATCTGTTGGACCACCGAAAAATCCAGTTGAACTAGAAAAGCTTGAAAAATCATCAGCTATAGGTCGTCTACACACTACGCTTTAAAATCAGGCCACAAAATTGGTTTTGACAATATTGAAATCATCATCCAGAAAAAGCATTTCAGAAATCACAAAGAACGTCTAATTCCAGAAGCACGTCATATGATCAAATGGAATCCAAATTGTCTGAATAGGAATGGTAGACTAAAACAGAATTTGACCTGGTTACAGCACCTCTCTCCCCCATAAAATGACAAAATCAACACGAATGTGATTGATAAACAATTTCATTATGTAAACACACGCTGTTTTTATAATTTTACAACAATCTACAGCTGGTTCTGTTATGTTTACCAATCGGTTAACTTGACAACGCAAAAATGTCCCCATTTTGAGGAACGATGATTAAGTTGTTATATATAAGCTGAGATTTTGCGAATTCTGGTTTAATAATACGACTTTGATAAAGATATTAGCAGCAGAATTAAATAGCGAAAAGTCAGTAAAAACAACAATATCGATTTGTTTTTCATTCATTGGGAAATACAAAAAAACCTTTATTTTTATGGAGAGGCTAACAAATGTTTTACAACTGTTTACCCATACACGCACATACACACACACACACCATTGTATACTGCATATACACATATATTTTCATACTCAGGTATCTATGACCATGAACTTTTAGTCGAACGTAATCACTAAAATTCTAATGAAAAGTACACTCTGTTTAAAGTGTTTAACAAAAGTAGACCAATATTTGTAACTTGAATATTCCCAAAATTTATTTATTCAGAACAAAAGTATTTAGAGCGAACAATTATCGTTTTCGATAAATTCTTCTTCGGGCTCTACAGTTATTATTATTATTATTGTCTCCTTTAATTCCTAGAGGAATATAGGGCTTCAGTCGCGCATCTCCATTGCGTTCGGTTCTCTGCTAGAGTTTTCACCTGGCTCCAAGTCTTCCCACATGCTTTCATCTCCTCTTCACATGACCTCCTCCAAGTCACCGTTGCACTGGCGACCAACTCGCCGCTTCCCTTTCGGCCAGGTTCCACTCGAGGGCTTGTCTAGTGATGTCACTTGATGGCTTCCTTAGAGTATGGCCGATCCATCTCCACTTCTTCCTGCCTTTTTGTTGCACAATCGGTTCCTGATTGGTTCACTCCCACAGGTCCCTGTTGCTGATCTTTTCTGGCCATCTGATCTTGAGTAGTATTGAGCGAAGACAGCTGTTAATGAAGGTCTGTAGTTTATCTGAGGCTCTACAGTTGTAAATCGATTAATTTAAGCATACAGTAACCAGCCAGCCAGCCAATAAAGGCAAATTAGAATCATATCAGAGATGTGTATTGTGGAACAAATATAAGTAAGTAAGTCGGTTAGTTTTTGAATAGGCATGGTCAATAATACACATTTCTGATATGATTCTAATTTGCCTTTTACTGGCTAGCTGGCTATTGTATGCTTAAATTAATGGATTTATAATTGTAGAGCAGCCTGAAGAAGACGAATTTACTGAAAACGACAATTTTTGACTCTAACTGTTTTGTTCTGAATAATATTTGTAAGCTTGAGGTTAAATTTTGATCACAGCTCATACAATTTTGTTTGTTTATTATATATTTTGATGCCTGTTTCATGACTCCTATGATTGGACAAAGTTTTTAGAAACCAAGCGACGTCCCTTTCTTATATATATAAACCTCTCTTGTGTTAATTTCGAATAATTCCCTTGAAAAAGTTCGGACCGACCAGTTTGTCGAACACAAAAAACGTTGGAATTACTCATTTCAATTTCACTTAGATTTTACAAATGTAGTTTTCAAGTATTGATTTTTTTATAGGGATTTAGTTTGATTGGTTGGAAGATTTCACCATGAGCTAATCATCAGTTAGATAAAAATTAGAAAACCTGCAGGGAGTGCTGCCAGACAGCTGTGTCTTCCCACTAGTTTGGGACTCTTCGTCAGTAGGCACCCACCGGTTGGGGTTCGAACCCAGGACCTTCCGATTACAAGCAGGCAAGCCCGTAGACCATTGGACTGGAATCCAGTCCAATGGCTGGTGGATGAATCCCAACTTCTGCCAGTTCATGACATAGCGCGACCACTTCGCGCAATGTCTTCTTCGATGAGTTGCTGCCTTAATGGTCTACGAGCTCACCTTGTAAACATTGGGTTCTGGGTTCGAACCTTGGTGGTGGGTGCGTACTGACGAAGAGCCAGTCCCAAACCAGTCTGATGAAACAGCTGTCCAGTACTCCAAGGTTTTCCGATGGTTCTCTAATTGATGTCAGCTCATTATGAAATCCTCCAACCAATGAAATATAGTTTTTACAAATGTCTACTTGTCACTCGGCGCCGAATTATATTTTGGAACTGTTCGGTCAAATCATGATCACAGTTCATATGAATTTACCTTGAATGTTTGTATTTGTATGTCAGTGTGTGTGTTGTTGTTGTTGTTATTATTGTCATACATTGGAGGTTGTCATTTGTATGTACGTTTATGTCAGTGGTTCTGTACATTCACTATACAACGTTATGTTCTCAACCAGCTTAACATTACATCATTAAACATGCGATATCAAAAGTTGAAAATTATAAACTATTTTCAAAAACATTTAATTCAATTTCGGACCGAGGTGCTCAGTCTCAGGTTGACATGTCGGTTTCTTGTGCAGATGCTTTGACGATGTCTTGGCAAGTAATTCGAAGTTAACTGGTGGATGGTGACTAGCAGTGGAATGCAGGATGCGCAACAAGCCGACATGTCAATCTGAGACCGAGCACTTCTGTCCAATCAATCGACGGGAAAATCTCGTGGCTCTAGTGATCTAGTGGATAACGCTTTGGCGTTTGAAACTATGGGCACTGGGTTTGAGCCTCGGTGGTGAGAACATCATCACTTACTGGAGAATGTGGCTATATCCAGTTAGCTGATGAGTCCCAAACAGGACGAAACGCGCATCCTGGTGGATTCTACTGCTAGTCACCATTCACCAATTACTTTCAACTATGACATAAATTGTGTTTTTAAAATTACAAATAATAATTATTTTTACAAGTTTGACCACGGATTGATATCAGTTAGAGAACCATTGAAAACCAGCATTGGAGTACTGTCAGACAGCTGTTTCGTCAGCCTAGTTTTGGAATCATTGGCAGTACGCACTCACTGCCAGAGTTCAAACCCAGGACCTTCTGGTTACAAGCCTAGCAAGCTCGTATACCATTCAGTCACTGGGACCTCTACCAATTCGTGATTTAGCACAACCACCAACCAATGCACTTCCAATGGTCCTCTAACTGATATCGATCCGTGGTCAAACTCGTTAAAAACAAACAAATCTAATCCTTACAAATCAACTCTTGAAAATAATAATTGTAATGATGTAATCGAATTTTGTTATTTTATTATTGTTGTTATTCTATCTTATTTAAAGGTCACTGAACCAGTCAATATTACTATACGTGAACAATTTCTATGGGATGAACTATTATCTCTAATAAACAATAATAATAATATTAGTAATAGTAGCGACAAACACGTTAATGAAACCCAGAATGGTCAGTCATTTCTATTCACACACAGCGATATTAGTACATTAAGGTCGCATACAGTGCCAGTGAAAACTGTCTGGAAATGGATTGTCGAACCAAAATTATCAGAATTATTGAAGGTAAGTTAATTCTTTACTTTTGAGGCTGAATACATTTCGGTTATTTGGATGATATAAAGTACACTTTTATTATTATTATTGTCTCCTTTAGTTCCTAGAGGAACATAGGGATTCAGTCGCACGTCTCCATTGCGTTCGGTTCTCTGCCAACGATTTCACCCGGCTCCGCGTCTGCCCACATGCTTTCATCTCCTCTTCACATGACCTCCTCCATGTCACCCATCGATGACCAACTCGCCGCTTCCCGTTCGGGCTCCACTCGAGAGCCTGTCTTGTGATTTCACTTGATGGTTTTCTCAGAGTATGGATAGAGAGGGACTATGGCAATGTTTGACTGTGAAGGGAGTGCCAAGAAAGTACATTGCACTAATCAAGGCACTCTACTCAAACTCACGTACCCATGTAAGGGCTTATGGGGAGTTGTCATCTGAATTGATAACAACCAGTGGTGTCCGTCAAGGATGTCCACTCTCCCCTTTTCTGTTTAACTTCATCATAGATATGCTAATGGAAGTATCCTTAACTGAACTTAACGACTTAAAAATCGACCTGTTACCAGGGAATACTCTTATAGACTTAGAATACGCAGACGACATAGTCCTGTTAGGGGAGGTTGCTGACAAAATGCAGAGTCTTCTGAACACCTTGAGTAGCAATCTTCGTATGTTTGGCATGCGATTCGCCCCTGTAAAATGTAAGATGCTGCTACAGGACTGGACTACGTCAACTCCAAGCTTAGTGATAGGGAGTGAAGTGATAGAACATGTTGACCACTTCACCTATTTGGGAAGTTGTATCAGCACCAACGGACTGATTGGCGATGAAATCTCAGCACGGATCCAAAAAGCTCGGGCTGCTTTTGCTAACTTACACCATCTCTGGCGTAGTCGTGACATCCGGCTATCAACCAAGGGACGTGTGTACTGCTCAGCAGTTCGCTCCGTCCTTCTCTATGGTGGTGAGACGTGGCCATTGAGAGCGGAAGACATGAAGAGATTGTCTGTTTTTGACCACAGATGTTTACGATCTCTTTCTCGCGTTAGGTGGTATAATAAGGTAAGTAATGTTGACGTTAGGCGTAGAGTGTTGGGCAAAGAGGGAAAATCAATCGAAGAGGCTATAAAGTTACATAGATTGAGATGGCTAGGTCACGTGCTGCGTATGCCTAACCATCGCCTCCCTCGACGGACGGGCATTACTAGCTGATATAGGTGCAGGTTGGGAAAGAGTAAGTGGGGGCCAAACAAAAACATGGCCTCATCAATCCATGAAATCCCTGACAGTTAAACTGAGTCAGGTAGGGAGATGCAGACTTCCGGGTTGGGGCTCGCCCTCGGGACTCTAAGAATCAATGGCTGGAGACAGACAATAGGTGACATGGCTCAAAATCGTTGTCAATGGCTTACGCAGATGTATTCAGTCTCTTTAACCCTCATACTCCTTTCTACCATTACTCATTCTGTTTCACTGCTGTACTTGTCAAAACTCTATTGATTCTCTTCACTTATTTTCTTGTCTACCTTTGTGTGCTATTTGGAACGTGGCAACTCGAACTGCTGCACTTCGGTGCCAAGTTCTATGTTGAATTCAGCCAGCCAGTCAGAGTATGGCCAATCCACTTCTATTTCTTCCTGTTGCACAATTGGTTCCTGATTGGTTGGCTCCCAGAGGTCTCTCCTTGTTGCTGATCTTTCCTGGCTGGCCATCTGATCTTGAGCGATGTACTGATCGAAGAAAGCTGTTGTTGAAGGTCTGCAGTTTGTTCGAAGTGGGCTTCGTGACGCGCTAGCCAAGTCTCTGATCCGTATAGCAGCACTAACTTCTCATTGGAGTTGAAAATGTGGATGTTATTTTTCGTGCTGAGTGTTGTTGACCTCCACACAGACTTGCTTTCCCGATCCTTGCTTTCATATCCCATCAGTTCTGTCCGCCTGTAGTTGAAACGATGCTTCCCAGGTAGGTGGGTAGGTAGGTGAAGGAGGTTGCTTCTTTCAGATTCCTCCCATTTATGCTGGTTGATTGTTGTCTATTGTTGTTGTTGCTGTTGGTGGCTGTTGGCCAGGAATCTTCATCACCTGTGTTTTCTCTATGTTCACTTGAAGTCCTATCTTTGATGCTTCTTCTATCGCCAACTTGTTGTTTTTCGCTTGAATATCTTCAAGTTTGTGGGAAATCAGACATGTATCATTGGCAAAGTCCAGATTGACGAGATATCTAGAAAAATGTTGTGCCTGAACTTAGAATTTAGGGGTGGCACTGTGAGTGAGATACTTAAAAATTGTCTGATGAGATCACTGAGAAAAACGTTCTTTGCTGCCACTTTACGAATAACCTACTCTAACAGTCCACTGGTGCATGTTGATGTCAAGGAGATGTTACCTCGATTGTCTGATTCCATGTGTATATATATGTTAACCTGCTCATGCGAAGGTAGGTGCATAGGACGTTCATTGAGAAACATGTCCCGCCGGCACTTTCGAGAACACCTCCCAGTTTGGCTGAGCAAAGGAGAACGTAGAGGTAGATGTGTTAATTCATCAGTACTGCAACATAACATAGATACTGACCACTCAGCATCTGACACATCGTCTGTTATAGTCTACAAAGTTCGACAATGTTTACCGACAGGGAGCGCATGAGTGCATTTGCTTTGTATATTGGAGTCTTTGGCGATGCATAACAGAAAACCAGAAGCAATTTGTACGATCTCTTTCGTTACCATAGTACTGATTTTACTATGTAATTCACATCAGAAAAACTTTGTCATCCTTCTTTATTCCGTCTTCTATTTTTGTTTTATTTTATTTCATTTTATGTTATCATATTCTAACAATTTATCTAGTGTACCATTTTGACAACACTTCACTCACCCATCTGCCTTTCCATCATATTATATTCACAAGTATTCACATTTCCGAATGTACTTTATTTTCAGATCATCTATTTCACGCATGTTCATTCAACTTTAGGTTGACCTTTATCTATTTACATTAATAATCCCCATGGAGACATAAAAACAAAGAATTCAGTTATGAAAATGAAATCGTCGAAAAGAGAATTTGATTCGCTGAATTCTTCGTTTTTATGTCTCCATGGGGATTATCACTTTAATGATATAACTGTCTCTCCTAATACCTTTGATTGTAATGATCAAGGAGAATGAAAGATGGAGTTTATGCAACACTTTCTATCTGGATTCATTTAAAGATCTGAGAAAAAAAGAATCAGTTTTCAGGTGTTAGTTTCTTCCGGGAACTTGAGTGGTTTCAGGTTTGATATCAGTTAGAGAACCAGTGGAAACAAGGAAGTGTTGAACAGCTGCTACTTCCTGGTTTGGCTTTTTTTATCTCTACGTGCCCATGACTCCACCGGAATTCGAACCCAGAGCACTGGTTGACGAAAGCGCTAAGTATTGCAAACTAAAAGCCCATTGGATTCCATCCCAATAGCTAAATAGTCAACAAGCTCACATTGTAATCTGAATTTCCTGGGTTCGATTCCCGGTGGTGGTTTCATGAATGCATGCTTTTGAAGAGTCACAAACGAGGAGGAAACAGCTGTTCAATACTCCCTGGTTGTCATTGGCTGTCTATCAATCCGTAATCCAACTTGAAAAGGATTAGGTTTGAGAACACGAGGATTTATAATTAACGACGGTAGAATGGTTCAATGGAATGATGAATACAAACCAACTGGAAATATCTACATTGAACTGTACATAAATAACAAATTTAATTCATTACATAAAAAGCTCTCATGCAGTCAGAATATCACCACAATCTCACCATAATCCAATTTAAAACTTACCTTAATTTCTCACAATTTGCAAAATCATTTAGACCAAGCAGAACACGACAGGAACTGGCTACATTTATCCCAAATTTAAATTGATCTTTCACTGCATTATCACAAAGCATATCGACACCTGAAAACAGAATAATTTATGGAACAATAAAATAGATAATCCACATTGATTATTAACTGCGTAACATAACGAGATTATGTCTATTTCTAAGATTATTATTATTCCGAGTGGAACATAGGGCTTCAACAACACATCTCCACTTTCTTCTATTCACTGGGGTCCTCTTTAAGTGGGCTAACGACTGCCTATAATCGCTCATCTCCTCCTGACCACACAATCTCCTTGTCACCCTCGCACTGACAACCCACTAGTCACTTTCCATTTGGATTCCACTCGAGTAATGACCTGCATTGCACGTGATATCATTCGACAGCCACCTTAACATAATAATAATAATTCGCTTTAATCCAGAAACAGTACTAGTGGTACAGTGTGGAATTTTCAGTACATATCTACAATATTTGCGTCTAATTTTATCAAACATTTAAAAGGAGTATTTCAAAAAAAATAAATATAAGGACACCAACAGCAAAAAAACAGGAGAAACACAAAATAATTTTTTTTAATGCGGAAAAATGCCAAGAAGTAGAAACGAAAATAAACAGCACTTAATAATAACTCAATATTGGGTAGTGGAAGCTATGATATGATTATGCATGGTGACAGTAAAGCTATAGTCATACAAGAAGTTATGTAATGATATTTAAGAATGTTTATCGCCAAGATGATCAGTTAATTTGGTTGAAACAAAGTCTAAACAATCATAAAATAACATTTCAGGGTTGTTGTTTTGTTTTTTGTTGTCAGGTCTAATGCAGTGTTTGTAGTGGTAGTGTGAGTAATCCTGTATAATACAAAATTTTAAGGTGGTGACAATGGCGTTCACAACCAATGATTGTCAGTTAATATTGCCGAGAAAAATAAGAAAAAACAACCACAAAACTAATAATTACATGATGGTTAATGACAGGAAAATTTTGTACTACTCATAGAGCTAATATAGTCGGAACCAGTGGATACACAAAAGAAGGAAATACAGCAAAGTACAAAAAGTAAGCCATTGTTAATAATTTAGGTAGCTAAGTATGTTTAAGAAGGAGTTCACTATAGAATACAAAGTAAGAGAGAAATAAAAGAGCCTAAAATTATGTTATTAACAACAAAGCAAGTCATAGGTTTCCGCTTAACATTGTCTCTGTCGCTTAGAACACGGGCCAAATATGGTACCGTTGAGTTCCTGTACTTGCTTGTACGAACATTTATTATTTTATACTGATTTCTGGTTCTACTTGATGAGATACAAGGCGAGAGTTGGGAATAGAGGGGTCGGAAAGCATGGTTTTAGACCATTTTTCGCATGTATTCAGATGCCTTTCAACTAATGTATTGACGAGCTGACTGAGTTTTACACCACTAGTCCTACTGACTACCTTCAACATCCTTCTCAGGATGGTATAGTCCTTTTTCAGTAGACCAGGAAAGACTAACGGGGAGCAGTAAAGTAGAATAGGTAAGATACAAGAGTTGACAAATTGTGAAAGTAGAGGTTGGGTGATTCCAGATTGTCTAAGTTTCTTAATGTAGTAGGTTAGACAGAACACTTTCTTAGAAATCGTTAGGGTATGAGATGTCCAAGTAAGGTCAGAAGACAGAACTAGACCGAGGTATTTAGCATTAGACTTAGTTTCAATTTTAGTGCCCTCAATGCAACAGGCTTCATGAGAACTTACTAGTGTTTGTAGATCTAGTTTATGCCTAAAGGAGAAGTCAATTGTCTGGCATTTTGAGGGATTCAGCATGAGACCATTTAGTTTAGACCACTGACTGATGTCCGACAGGAAGCTATTTAATTTGAAACAGTCTGACTGAAACTTAATGGGAAACGGTACAGTCAGGTCATCTGCATATTTGACGAAGTTGATTTCGTCTGAAAGAGGTAAGTCATGTAAGAAGAAGGAAAAGAGAAACGGAGAGAGAACAGCACCCTGAGGAACTCCAGCTTCAGTAAGCAAAGGAGAGGAAGATACTAATAATTCGATTTTCAAGTCTCGGTTTGCAGGGATTTGATTGATTTCTAGATTAACAACCGTCAAGGGACTTCAGATATGGAATTATTGAAAACGAGATAGTATTACTCGACTGCTGTCTCTTTCTTGTCCTAATGAGTTCCCCTTATAACCTAAGGGTCCCAGGTTAAATTCCTAGTGGGGTCGTGGGTGTGGAATACTGAAGATTCCTAAACTACGAGGAAACAACTTTCTAATGCTTGCTTGGGTTTCAATGCTTCTCTAATTGAAGTCCATTCGTGGTTAAACATGTAATGATTCTGTTTTCATCCACCTTATATGTATATAATAGTTTTGTCAAAAATTATATCCTACTTACTTTCAGTTAAAAATGCATTAGATTTAGATATGATGGAGAAGATTTGTAGCTCAGGTGGATGATTTTGATGTAGTTGTGTTGTCTGAGCTGGATGGTTTATTTGCGAAGCTCCCATTGACCTACTAGGCAACATCTTTAGTGCATACTTCAATTTAAAGTGAGCTTTCAAGTTATCTCTCCTGGTGACTTGACTTGGTATTGATACCGATACAAGTAACCGTTTAGAGGATGCGAAAACACACAGACAACGAATCACATCCAAGATCAGGTGGTCACTAGGAGAGATGACCTAAAAGTCCGTGGAGAAATCTAAAGGTCCACTTGAAATTGAAGTGGTATGCGCTGAAGATGTTGCCCAGTTAGGTGGCAATGAAAGCTTCGCAAATAAACCATCCATCTAACTCAGAGAACACGACTACATCAAAAGCATTCGATTTGTTTTTTTGAACAGTAGGCGTATACACGATTTGTGTTATCTGGACAGCGTAGGCAATACGAAACTGTGTATATGTATGTGTTTGCGTGTTTAATAGATGTAAATATCAGTGAAAATCTCATATGAATATCGAGATAAAGCGCAGAAAGAAAAAGAGAAAGAAAAATTTTTTGCTTAATCACTGTAAAACTGAAAAGTAGGCTGTATGGAATTATCCAGGTATAGTCGATGATTTTGTTGTTTTATAGGTTAATGACGTAGATTGAAGGCGCAGACATTGGCTGAGCGTAGTACATATGTCAAGCTAAAACTTCTAGTATATCAGTCTAGTTCCATACTTACTATGCTAAAACTGATCATTTTCTTTCCTATGACTCGATTACTCGAAGAAAATTTCCCATGTACGACCAGATAGACACGCTAAGCCACCGTTTTCCTTGATGAGTAGTGCTAGGTGACATAGGATAAGATTGGAAGGTGTTTAAACCAAATTCTATTAACAGTCCATGAATTCTCCTACAGTTGGTTTGTGTCAACCATGTGGAGAGGTTCAGACTGCTTGTTTCTTTGGGCTTCTAAGAGCCAGTACCTTGGGATTACCGGTGATATGTTTCAAAATCGTGTGTCAAGGAACTTAACCCTAAGTTCCTATTATCTCCGAAGACGCTCGAACCGACAATTACTATGAACGATATTGACCTTAATTCCAAAACACAAGGAACGAGAAGAATTTGTATTGTTCAGCAGTTAAAGTCAATATCTGTACAAAGTCTATAAACAAATGTTTTACAGGGAGTGTATTGTACTTTTACTCGCATTCCTTCGTCTTCTTCTAACTTGTACACGATTGAATCATTCGCACCTTCGAGTTGCCCGCCAATGGCGCGATCAAGGCCAATGTTCAAACGTTCAATGTTCACATTCATTTACATCGTTCTCAGTGGTTGAGAATCATTCATTCTTTGTCATCACCCAATTCGATTGAGTCCTCAGGTGTTTCGATGTTACTATTCTTTCGGCCGTACACTTCTGTTCAGTATAGTATGGAGTGTGGCGATTTGAAATGCTGCACATCTGTGTAATATTCTAAGTTGAAAATCAGTCAGTCAGTATTTTAGAGAGGAATTCGAACCCGGGACACCAGCTTAGACCAATGAGCCACAAGTGTTCTGATGTGATTTTTTCTTTCTCTTCATAACACTCTTAATTTGTGTCTTTATTTTGATGGCTAAAACTCTAAATTTCGAAAACGTTTAGTACTACCTTACCAATTCATAACATCACACAGCATTTATATCTCCTGCCAAACGCTTGGATCGATGTATAATCTCCATCCAGGCATTAATGTAAAAAATAATACTGTGGTGGTGTGATACAGACAGTGTGTTCCAATGGAACATTATTCTCACATATTCCCACAGTTCAATACGGCATTAGCAATAGAATGCTATGTATATATTTGAAGATTCTATTTGCTGTTAGAGACAGAGTACTTTTCCCACAGTTCAATACTGTATTTTTTTTAAAATTCCTTAACGTTCCCTTTTGAAAATAGGGCTTCGAGATAGAGGCTTGAAGTTTCGATAGCAGTGGTGTTTATTTTTACAGGATGGGGTTGCTAGCCTAGTGCCAAACCTTCCCTCTTTACAAGTCTTATTACTGGCTTAGTGAGGTAAGGGAGTATGTAGGTGGCAGGGAATCGAACCCCGGACCACCTGCATGCATGATCGGCGAGTATTCTACCGCTGTCCCACCGACGCAACCAATACTGCATTAACAACAGAATGCTATATATGTATTTGAACATTCTATTTCATGTTGTTTAATGTAAACCAAAATGACACGCTCAGTGATTGGTTAAATAATATAAAACTGTATAGATATAAATAGCGGTTTGATTACTTGAAAATATACCTTGACTTCCGTGTCTTGCCTTCTGCTATTACAACAGGGATTCAGAGAAGAGACTGTTTTCGGTGAATTCATTTTCTTTAGTTATACTGTGGTGAGAGCTGTCTGCAAGCCGAAAATTGTAGACAACAATTTACGTCAATGTTTACGTCCCGAGTCGGGGTCATGCTCGATGCTTCTTCTATCTGTTTCATTTCGTCATTTAGATCTTTTTTTGTACTACTTAGTGCTACTATTTGGTTTGTTTGACACTTGACTAAGCCTGCTTTCACAGACAGATAACGGATGAGATGAATTAAAGTCTAAATATTTATTAGAATGCGTTGGTATTGCTTTTTATAAACGCTAGTGTGTAGTTTGCCTTCTTTTATTCGTTGTATTTTACAATCCAGCAGAATAACTAATTCTTCTTGTTCATTTTCTGATTCAAATGTGAATTTTACTTCCCTTTACTAGTGAGTTTATATATGTCAAGAAGCTAGAGATATGTTCTGTTTTTTTAACACTGTGTGTGAAAGTGTCATCCACATATCTCCACCATTAATCAGTCATATTTTATTCTATCCTCTTGTTTGCTCTTCTGTTTGTTTTTAATCATATATTTTAGGCGCCAGTTATATATTCCCTACGAAATGATACTGAATTGAAATCAATTAAAACAAATGGATTACATTCAACTAATCCAAATCATGATCAAGAATCAAATATTATGTGCATTAGTGTAGAATTTTCACAGAATTCTATTCAGTCAGATTTTAATGCACTAGTAAATTATCTAGAGAAATTTCCTTCTTCATATTCTATTCATTCTTTTCTTGTCCGATTGAAAAATTCAAAAATACCGCGTAAACGTTCACGGTTCAATTTTACTGAAAGAATCAAAGCAACTGCATTAAAACAACACAAAGAAGACGAAGAAATAATCAATGATGAAGAGGATAATGAAGCGAAGGATGTATTGATGGAAGATAATGCTTGTTCATTGGTTGATAATAATAACAACAATAATGACAGTGATCGTACACACTTATCGATTTCCAATCAGCCAACATCAGCGTTATCATCTGTGATAAATATTGGTTATACTTTAGACAGATCATGTCAATTTTCTCGAACAGTGCTGACAGAGCTTTCTTCTTTGTTAAAAGATGTTTGTTTACATTCAGATTATATTAAGAAGAGGTGAGTATAATTTCTCTTTGTTCCTAACTTCATTTTTATTTTAGCTGAAAAATATTATTGTCTTTTCTGTTTTAGCTATAAAGATGTAACAATTTATGCTTTCAAGTATTGGTTTGTAGGGATTTGATTGATTGGTTACAGGTTTATTTTGATGTAGTTGTGTTCTCTGACCTGCTAGACGGTTTATTTGCGAAGCTTTCATTGCCCCCCCCCCCGACTAGGCAACATCTTCAGCGCATACTACTTCAATTTGTTGAAGTGAGCTTTTAGATTTCTCCACGAGTTTTTAGTCATCTCTCCTGGTGACCACCTGACCTTGAATGTGATTCGTTGTTTTTGTGTGTTTTTACGCACCCTCTAGGTGGCTACTTGTATCGGCCTTGGTACTGATTGTTTCCTTGACCTGAAGTTTGACCTTTCGTGTATGAGATTTCCTTCTTAAAGATTGGTCATTTTTTTTGTCTATGTCAATGCGTGTCTATTATTAACTGACGATTCACTGGAATACCACCAGTCTTCTAAAACAATTCTCTGGCATTCTTGGTGTTTCTTTCCTCTGTCTAATATTTGGACTTTGGTTTGATTGTCCCAGAGTAATTGATGTCCGTTGTTGTCGGTATGCAGCGATATGAGTGAGGGAGTGGATGTCATGTGTTTTGATGGCTAGTTAGTTTATGTTCATGGATACGAAGACGAAGAGGACATCGTCCACTTTGGCCAAAGTGGAAGCAATCAGTACCAATGCCAATTCAAGTAGCCGCCTAGAGGGTGTGAAAACACACAAAAACAACCAATCACGCTCAAGGTTAGGTCACCAGGAGTGATGACTAATAAACTCGTGGAGAAATCTGAAAGCTCACTTCAACAAATTGAAGTAATATGCGCTGAAGATGTTGCCTAGTAGAGGAGTGAAAGCTTCGCAAATTAACTATCCAGCTCAGACAACACAACTGCATCAAAATCATTCACCTGAGCTGCGAATCTTCTCCATTATATATGGATTGGTTATAAAGTAAAGCAAGTTGGGCGTGAGGACAAATACCCGCCAGCGGTGACGTTGGCTAGTGCCGGTCGCGCTATGTCCTGAATTGGCAAAAGTTGGAGTTTATGGATTGGCCAATGGATATGGCACCACTAGCTTGGTTATCTACAAGCTCACTCACCTTGTAACTAGAAGGTCCTAGGTTCGAACCCGAATGGGGTCGGTGCCTACTGATGAAGAGTCCCACAGTGGTGGGACGGAACAGATGTCTGCCAGTAGTCCCTGCAGGTTTTCCAATGGTTCTCTAACTGATGTCAGCTCATGAAGAGAAATCCTGTAACTAATTTATGCTTTGTTGGAGATGTTTACGTATATGCACATGTTCCGGAATTCGATTTATTTTATCACCTCCTATCATTCAGTATTACACTATTATACATTTTTGGCTGGCTGGATTCAGCATAGAACTTGGCACCGAAGTGCAGCAGTTCGAGTCGCCACGTTCCAAATAGCACACAAAGGCGGACAAGAAAATGAGAGAGGAGAATCAATAGAATTTAGATAAGTATAAGAGTGAAACAGAATGAGTAATGGTAGAAAGGAATATGAAAGATTACAGAGACTGAATACATCTGCGTAAGCCATTGACAACGATTTTGAGCCATGTCACCTATTGTCTCTAGCCATTGATTCTTAGAGTCCCGAGGGCCCCGACCCGGAAGTCTGCATCTCCCTCCCTACCTGACTCAGTTTAACTGCCAAGGATTTCATGGATTAATGGCATGTTTTTGTTTGGCCACCACTTACTCTTTTCCAACCTGCACCTATATCAGCTAGTAATGTCCGTCGGGAGGGGGAGGCGATGGTTAGGCATGCGCAGCACGTGACCTAGCTATCTCAATCTGCGTAACTTTATAGCCTCTTCGATTGATTTCCCTCTTTGCCCAACACTCTACGCCTAACGTCAACACTACTTACCTTATTATACCACCTAACGCGAGAAAGAGATCGTAAACATCTGTGGTCGAAAACAGTCAACCTTTTCATGTCTTCAACTCGTATTGGCCATGTTTGAGAGCCATAGAGAAGGACGGAGCGAACTGCTGAGCAGTACACACGTCCCTTGGTTGATAGTCGGATGTCACTCCTACGCCAGAGACGGTGTAAGTTAGCGAAAGCAGCTCGAGCATTTTGGATCCGTGCTGTGTTTTCGTCACCAATCAATCCGTTGGTGCTGATACAACTTCCCAAATAGGTGAAGTGTTCAACATGTTCTATCACTTCACTCCCTATCACTAAGCTAGGAGTTGACGTAGTCCAGTCCTGTAGCAGCATCTTATATTTTACAGGGGCGAATCGCATGCCAAACATACGAAGATTGCTGCTCAAGGTGTTCAGAAGAGTCTGCATTTTGTCAGCATCCTCCCCTAACAGGACTATGTCGTCTGTGTATTCTAAGTCCATAAGACTATTCCCTGGTAACAAGTCGATTCCTAAGTCATTAAGTTCAGTTAAGGATACTTCCATTAGCATATCTATGATGAAGTTAAACAGGAATGGGGAAAGTGGACATCCTTGACGGACACCACTGGTTGTTATCAATTCAGATGACAATTCCCCATAAGCCCTTACACAGCTACGTGAGTTTGAGTAGAGTGCCTTGATTAGTGCAATGTACTTTCTTGGCACTCCCTTCACAGTTAAACATTGCCATAGTGCCTCTCGATCCACGGAGTCGAAGGCCGCCTTCAAGTCAAGAAATATGGCAATTGTTGGACGCCTAAAAGTGTGTTTATGTTCTAGGATCTGTCGGAGAGTAAAGATATGATCTATACACCCTCTACCTGGCCTAAAGCCCGCTTGATTCCCCCTCGTTTGTTCCTCCCGAGTTCGGCTTAGTCTGTGCATGATTACTGAGCCTAGGATTTTAGAGACTATGTTCGTCAGGCTGATTCCTCTATGATTATACATTTTTGGTAAATATAAATACGACTGTACAGCCTGTGGAGATGATTTTGTTGATAAAGAAAATTTTTTTCCACTGAATTGTCTTTTTTCATCAACATATTGATTGATTTTGTTCATCGGTTGTGCTTAACTTAAAATCGTTCACATTAGTGTGTATTTATGTGTGTCTATTCCTTATCATTCACAGAATTTTGAACATTTGGTACAATCTTCATTTTAGTCGCCTCCTCTCCTCTTTATCTCTCAAATTTACCCTTAATGTAGAGTTATTAATTTTTTCTCTAGTTGATTTTCCCCATGTTTGTAAAGTAATAACAACTTAAGATGATGCTGTACACTTCTGTGAAAGCTTTTACTCTATCTAATTCATCTGTTTAAGTCAATCTGAATACCTACCATTCTGATGATATCGCAAAAAAGTGCATCCATTATTTTATTATACAAGTAGTTGTCGAATGTTCTTTTCCCTTCACCCTTCAAATAATTACAGTATATCTACGTATTTCTAAATCTCACAAATATCATATCGATTTTCATCGTTAAATGTCATCAGCATTAGCATAAATATAAACCTACCTGTAAAGTGTTACACATTATTGTTGTTTTTATAAAGGATAGGTAAAGGATAGCCTAACACTGTTCGACATTTACAAGTTATGTCATAAGTTGCGCGCTCTCTTGTTTTTTTCTCCCTCTCTCTCTCTCTCTCTCTCTTTCCCTGCCCACTTGTCATGTGACATAGTTAGAAAAGGAAGGATACTGGTGTACAGTTTTTTTAGACACAATTCACTGTATAATTTAACGAACAATAAATTATATTTTCAAGTATTGGTTTTGTAAGGAATTGTGTTTAATTGGTTGGAGGATTTCATCATTAGCTGACATCAATTAGAGAAGCATAGAAAAACCAGTCGGGAGTACTGGACAGCTGTTTCCTCCCACTAGTTCGGGACTCTTCATCGATGCGCACCCACCGCTGGCGGTTTAACCCGGGATCTTCTCGTCACAAGGTGAGCTAGTTCGTAGACCATTCAGCAGCCACTGGGACCCAATCCAATGGCCAGCCAATTCATGACATAGCGCGACCACTTCGCTCAATGTCTTCTTCGATGAGTTGCTGCCTCACCTTCGACCTGCTGTACCCTACTGGCCACGGCCTCCCACTAGAAACTCAGGTAACTACTTGAATACGGTCAGTCAGTGGGTGCGTACTGATGAAGAGTCTTAAATTAAGACGAAACAGCTGACTGTCCAGTACTCCCCGCTGGTTTTCCAATGCTTCTCTCTTCTCATGATGAAATCCACCAACCAATCAAATAATTTATCTTTTAGTGAGAAAGTTTTAATCTTTTTTCAAAAAGGTATTGGTTTGTACAACAAAAAAGAATGAATTCCAGTTCAGTTCACTGTTTGTTCGTCGACATTTGTGATTTTTTCCTTCTTTGTGTGGTGTTATTTTTGTTCGGTGAAATCATAAAATCGGCACTATCTCATAATGATTGAAATAAAGTTTCCAGGAAAGACAATTTACCTCCTCTTTGAGTATATTTCGCTTCTATCAAGCGGGAATACTCCTCAGTGTTTCATTTTGTTTTACTTTAAAACCCACTCACCAGACGGAAATAGGTTTATCGTGTGATATCCAGTTGATTGTCGATCAAAGGACGTGTGTACTGCTATACTGCTTAGCAGTTCTTTCCGTCCTACTTTATGGTTGACTGTGAGACGTGGCCATTGAAAGTGGAAGACATGAAAAGCTAGATTAGCTTTCTTTCATCGTAGGTGTCTGCGTTCTATCTCCAGTGTCCAGTTGTGTAATAGGGTGAGTAATATTGAAGCTAGGCGTCCTGTGTTAGGCACGGCGGTATAATCTAATCGAAGAAGTTGTGAAGTTACATCCATTGAGATGGTTAGGACATGTGTTACGCATGCCTAACAATCGCGTTCCTCAACCGACAGGCAATGTTAGTTGATGTAAGATTGACCAGGTTGAAAAAGAGCTAGCACGTGGTGGTTAAACCGAAACATGGCTTCATCAATCAGTGAAATCCACAACAGTTAGTTTAAGCCAGTCACGTAGGGTTGGTGATATGGCTCAAAATCGTTCTCAATGGTTGACGCAGCTGTATTCACTCTTAACGATTTGTTATATCCAATAAAATTCTATTGTTCTTCCATATCACTGTTGTTTTTCCTTCACACTTCTGTTTATGATCTTTTTCTCTTTTGAATCTCTTTTTACTCCCTTCTCTTGCTTTGTGTGGTACATGGAGGGGGTGTGGCAACTCCAAATGTTGCATTCCAGGCAAATTTTTATGTTGAAAATAGTCACTGAGTCAGGTTTCATCGTGTTCCAGTCTAGGAACTACATGTAATTCGTAAGGCTAATGAAATAGGCGCGGTGGGATCCGAATTCATGACCCAGTGGCTGAAACTTGAGTTTTAAGCCAATGAGCCAGGTCTCCATTCCTTTTGAAGCTTCAAAGAAACCGACTTCTCCGAATGTTCATTGGAGTGGAGTGCATACCCATAAACCACTCACTAGTTGGAAGCCTAGAGTCTAGACCACTTCACCCCAGATGTACTAATTAATATCATCAGTCCTCAAAAAGTAAAAGTAACATTTTTTCATATATTTTACGTTATGAATAATTGCTGATGAAGGTGACCTTTTCTACTTTTCATTATTGGGCCTAAGCTGATAATGACTATAACAACATTCTTGTACAGTAGCACCCTACGGTCGGTGCTGTCAGATAGATAACCTTGGAACATAGCACTGCTAAATACCACTGTGATAATAATAACACCTCTTCATTAATTTCAGTAGAACTTGTGTACCGACAAAAAAAATAATGATCTATGTAGATGACGTCATAAAGAAACATTCTTCAACATACTTTATGATCGAGAAGAGAATACACAAACTAGTCGGTAACTTTATTTTCAAGGCTTCATTGTTCTAAGCAGGTTATTTGGCATCTGCATATATGTGTCAACTGTCTGTATAACAGAAAATATTTTGAAAGTGTAACCACAGTAACACTTTCATTCACTTCGTGTTTATTTTCTTCGTTAAGATAGTTGACTCCTTGAGGCTTTTAAGACTTATAGAATAGTTTTCTATATAACTTACTGTCTTATTCTCTGTCTATTTGTCTGTCTCCAGCTGTTTATGCAAACGTACTATGGTAGTATGTGTGGAGTTATGGCTGATTGACTTAAACACTCAATCTCCAGCGAACCATTGGGTTCTGGGGTCGAATCCCTCTCTGCCTACTTCAGCCTATGAATTCACATAATAATAAGTGTGCAGTTGATAACTATCTGGTAATGCGTATAACTGACTTTGAACCAAACATTATTATTATTTCTTTTAGTTCCTAGAGGAACACAGGGCTTCAACCGCTCGTCCCCATTGCCTTCGGTTCTCCGCTGACGTTTTCACCTGGCTCCGCGTCTTCCCACACGATTCCATCTCCTCCTCGCATCACCTCTTCCATTTCACCCTCGCACTGTCGACCAAGTCGCCGCCTCTCATTCGGTCGGGTTACACTTGAACAATGGCCTGGCGTGTGATGCGACTCACTTGAAAGCTTGTTTTCTCAAAGTATGGCCAATCCACCTCCATTTCTTCCTACATCTTTGTTACATAATTGGTTCCTGCTGCGTTGTTTCGCTCCCAGAGATCGTTCCTGTTGCTGATCTTTTCTGGCTGGCCATCTGATCTTGAATAGTATTGAGCGAAGATAGCTATTGATGAAGGTCTATAGTTTGTTCGAAGCGCCCTTCGTGACGCGTTGGCCAAGTCTCTGATCCGTATAGTAAGTAGCACTTACTTCACATTGGAGTTGAAAATCCGGATCTCATTTTCATCTTCATCCTGAGTGCTGTTGACCTCCACACAGACTTACTTCCCCGATCTTTGCTTTCATATCCTAATCAATTCACTAACACTGACTAAGTGGGTTTTGTTTTAACGTAAAACTACAGCGGTTCAATATTAATTTGTTTATTAGACATATCACATAGTGAAACTGTATTATATAGTGGATGACGTTTCGAACACAGTAGTCCACAATTGCCACACTACATAAAGTAGACATAAATATAGAAAGAGGAAAATGCAACGGGACTATATGACAAGAGAAAGAATCACAGTAATAATAGGAATTTTATGGATTTGGAAGTTCACGCAATTGATTTTTAGAATTTCGAGGACTCTAATGGAACAATCTTCATCTGCGTACGTGATTTACGTCACCAGTCAATAAATTCATGCATTGATGACATATTTTTATGTGCCCACTCTTAATTTTTTGCCCACCCCCCTCACCACCGTAATCCTTTGTTGATTAACATTAGTCGACGAAGAAGGCTGATGGTCAAGTAAGCATGCGTAACACAAGTCCTCGCCATCTCATCACTCATTGGAGCTTCACATCCTCATGCAACTATGGGATTATTAGATTATGAACCATACTCATTGTTAAAGAGTTGATCATACTACCTATTCTTCGTAGCAGAAGTAGATGAATCAAGATTTGGACCCAGGTGTTACTGACTGTGGAAGGCTAAAGCCATTCAGCCAAATATCTCTGTATACACTCATATACCTTTTTTATTTATCGGAATGTAACTTTCAGTGTATTGATCGGACAACAATTGAATACTATCTCATTACTAATCATTGTTATTTCACGTATAATGAATGTGAAGGTTGATCACGAACTGACTTCAGTTAGAAAGTCATTGAAAATCAGGGTGTACTCAGCGTGTGCTTCGTCCTTGTCTGTGACTCTTCATCGGTACGCATTCATAAGCTCACTGAAGATTAAACCAGCAACATTCAGGTTACAAGGCCTTGCGTTGCCTACTTAGCCGCTGGATAAGTGCTCACCGCTTACATTTTCTGGTGGTCGCGAATTGGACGAAGTCCAGGCCATCAGATTCTGTCCTATTGGTCCAATGGTCATTGACGTCGCCCTGCTATTGGAAACTGCTGGCTTCTATACCTAGTTGGGTTATGGGTGTGCACCACCAAAGATTCCCAAACAAAAATAAAATGGCTTCTCAGTGCTTCTTGTTTTTCTATAATTCTCTAACTGAAGTCAGCCCCTTATCAATCTTATAACCAATCAAATAAATCCCTGTAAAGTAACACTTGAGAATATCGATTGTATTTCATAAACTATTTCTTTTTGAAGAGAAAATAAAGAAGCTTTTATGGGTTGTTGTTTTGTTTTCCCTCTTTTTTCTTCTTCAAATGACAGACTTTCTGAAGACAATCATTCCTTGGCATTTATGACATTATTAAATATCTCACGAAGTATACCATTGTGTTTAGCTGGTCGATATGTCAAATTGAGTCGACGCTTACCACAAACTCCATGGTTAATTGGAACACAGCGTAAGTTGGATTCTTCAGTGGAAGAGCTTATCACTGGACTGATATTGCCTGAATTCGGTGCAAATGCTCAAAGTTGTTTTATGTCATCTGGTAGGGAAGATGTTGATGTCAGGTAATTCGATCAATATTTTTATGCGTTCTCTAAAATATTGATTGGTAAATAGAGAATATCCTCTTCGATAATTATATATATATATATACATATATATATATATACATATATATATATATATAATTGTATTATTGTTCCCTTGGTTTCCTAGTGGAACATAGGGCTTCAACTGCATGCCTCCACTTGTTTCTGTCTTCTGCTGTACTTTTCACTTGCATCCATGTTAGTCAATACTGTTTCAACTCCTCTTCACACGATCTCCTCCATGTCACACTTGCACTGACGTCCCACTCGCCGCTTCCCTTTCGGGTTCCACTCGAGCTATGGCCTGACGCGCGATTTCACCCAGCGGCCTCCTCAGCGAGTGTCCAATCCATCTCCACTTTCTCCTGCATATTTGTTGGGCGATCGGTTCTTGTTTTGTTTGTTCCCATAGTTTCTTGTTGGTGATTCTTTCCGGCCATCTGACTTTGAATAAAGAGCGAAGACAGCTGTTGATAAAGGTTTGCAACCTGTTGGAAATATTCTTGGTGACCCGCCAAGTTTCTGCTCTGATCCGTATAGAAGAACTGACTTGACGTTTGTATTGAAAATCCGAATTTTGTTGTTGTTGATGCTGAGTGACGAAGATTTCCAGATTGGTTTCAGGTTGATGAATGTGTTTCTCGCCTTCCCGATTCTCGATTTGACGTCCTCGTCGTCCGTTCCTCCTGTAGTTGAGACAATGCTTCCTAGATAAGTGAATGAAGTAACCTCTTTCAAATCATCCCTCCCGTTGATGGTGATTGGCACTGGATGTAGCTGTTGTCTTTGTTGTTGTTGGTTGGTTATTTTCATAACCTCCGTGTTGTCTATGTTCACCTGGAGTCCTGTCTTTGCTGCTTCTTCGACCAGTTTGTCGGTTTTCGCTTGTAAGTCTTCGATTTTGTGTGACATCAAACATAAATCATCCTTGCGCGAAATCCAGGTCTTCTAGGTTCTTCATGTCGGTCCAGGATATCCCTGTATTCTCGTTTCCCACTATGTGACGCATAATCCAGTCCACCACAATTGGGAATCTATATATATATATATATATATATATATATATATATATACAAAGTAGGAAGGATCACACTTGATCACTGTGAGACGGGATCACGTAGATACGATCGCAAATGTGAACAAAGAGAAACAGGTGAACGTCAGCGAGCACCGGAATTTAAGACAGCAAGACAAACGAACAGTGTCACCAGAACCAAGAAGACCGAACCAACTTCAGTGGAACGTCTTTGACGTGAGGACGAGTGTGGTGACAGCTGTCTGCTTTCCAAAATTGTAGACAACAATTTACGTCAGTGTTTACGTCCCGAATCGGGGTCATGAGAAAAAACAGTGACAAAGTTTAACCTTTAGTAATTCACCAACGAATCACAGCAGACTTAGCGTGTGCAAATACGATTAGCAGTTATATGGCCTAACTTTCTAAGAAACGGCCACAAGGAAGTGACAGAATAACCTTCAGCAGGAAAACAACGAATCAGAAGACGTTGTTTCTCTACTAACAATAACGAATAATAATGCACATAAAAATGTATAAATATCTGTTGATTTTCTCAACAAGCGATCTGTTGCCTGAGCTTTGTCTTCTGCCGTTACACTATAATACTATTCAACAACTATAATAACTTGTATCAAAAGCACGGGAACTATCTGAACAATGTCATGCGTCAGTTATACGGTTTGAAAGTTCCTCAGGTACAAAATTATGTACTATACAACAAAATGAATTGACCAAACATGTAGGAGTAAGCCAAGGCTGTCTGTCTCTTTATCACTGAGGTCACTTTTAATTGTTGTGGATTGGGGAGAGGAGACAGAAAGACACTGGACCATTGACAATGAGACTCTAAAAGATCTGGATTTCGCAGGCGATATATGTCTAAAGTCACAGAAACTCGAAGACTCAGGTGAAAACCAACAAACTGTCTGAGGAGGCTGGCAGTAAAGACAGGACTGCAGGTGAACATAGAGAAGATGGAGGTGATGAGAATAACTGACCAACCAACCAACAGCAACAACAAGCAGCACCAATCACCATCAACGGGAGAGATATGACAGGAAGCATAGTTCCAACCACAGGCTTTCGGGACGGGAGATGTCAAAGCAAGCCAACCAGGATCGGAAAGTCAAGATACACCTTCAGCAACCAGCCAGCTTAAAGAACGAAATTCGGATTTTCCACACAAATGTCAAGTCAGTGACTTCTTCTATGGGGGCCACAAACTTGGCTCATCACAATAAGCATTTCCAACAGTTTGCAGGTTTTTATGAACACCTGCCCTACTCGCCGGCTTCATACTGAAGATCAAATGGCCAGCCGGCCAGAAAGAACTAGCAACAAGAAACTCTGGCTGGGAATAAACCAACGAAGAGCCGATTGCTCAACAAATATGTAGGATAAAATGGCGATAGATTGGGCATGAGCCGTCCTAGGGTGACATGGAGGAGATCGTGTGGCAAGGAGTAGATGAGAGATTATGGTCAATCCTGGACCCAGTTGTGAAGAGGACAGTACAAAATATAAGAAAGTGGAGATGTGTTGTTGAAGCCGTATGTTGTTTCACTCGGAACCTTGATAATCGATAAAAATATTCTTTCTGGATTTCATCCTCTTGAAACCGGATTTGTGTTCAAAAAAGAAGTCGTTATCAGTATTCCCTTGCCCTGGTAACTGAATATATCCTCACGCCATCCTTTTGATTAGATTCCATAATCGTTAACCTCTTCCCCTTCTCCACTATATGATTTTGTCTGTTTTTTTGTTTCTGTGACTTGAGTTGAACTCACCGTATGTTACCCATCATCTTATCCACGTCAAGACTTCATTGCGCAACTCCTTTTCCGTTGTATTCAAGAATTTGTTGTTTTTTCTTGAAACCTGAACTGTATTCGTATGGGGGGGTTATGTAGGCGTAACTCTCAGATTTTCAGCACCAGTATGTAGGTGAGGGGGCTTGGTGAGCCAGTATGCAAAAGTATTTTCATCAACAGAATCTTACAGACTTTCATCAACATTTGTCTTTGTTCGATACTGAAGGTCATGCAGTCAGACAGGTTTAGCGATAAGGAACTCTGGGAATTAACTAATCAATGGTATACGAGCTTGCCTTGTAACCGGAAGGTCCTGGGTTCGAATCCCAGTGGGTGCGTACTGCCGATGATTCCCAAACTAGGATGAAACAGCAGCTGTCCAGTACTCCCTGGTTTCCAATGGTTCTCTAACTGATATCAGTCCGTGATCAACTCGTAAAACATAACTAATCCTTACAAACAAACTATAGAAAATCAATACTTATTATCCAACAAATATGGAGAAGAATATATGGATGATTTTGGATACATAGTGCGGAGACCTCTGAGTGATATCACACACTGGGTTAGTCCTTTAGTGGAACCCGATTGATAAACGGCTAGTTGGGTGGTAGTCCGAGGGTGATGACATGCAAGTAGTAGTAAGTACAATAAATAAATAATAATAATAGTGATTTATTTTATTCCAAAAACAGTACTTGTGATACAGAATAGAATTTTCAGCATTAATCACACAGAAAAATTTTCACATTTATTATTGTTATTATTATTGTTCCCTTGGGTTCCTAGTGGAACATAGGGCTTCAACTGCACGTCTCCACTTGTTTCTGTCTTCTGCTGTACTTTTCACTTGCATCCATGTTAGTCAATACTGTTTCAACTCCTCTTCACACGATCTCCTCCATGTCACACTTGCACTGACGTCCCACTCGCCGCTTCCCTTTCGGGTTCCACTCGAGCTATGGCCTGACGCGCGATTTCACCCAGCGGCCTCCTCAGCGAGTGTCCAATCCATCTCCACTTTCTCCTGCATATTTGTTGGGCGATCGGTTCTTGTTTTGTTTGTTCCCATAGTTTCTTGTTGGTGATTCTTTCCGGCCATCTGACTTTGAATAAAGAGCGAAGACAGCTGTTGATAAAGGTTTGCAACCTGTTGGAAATATTCTTGGTGACCCGCCAAGTTTCTGCTCTGATCCGTATAGAAGAACTGACTTGACGTTTGTATTGAAAATCCGAATTTTGTTGTTGTTGATGCTGAGTGACGAAGATTTCCAGATTGGTTTCAGGTTGATGAATGTGTTTCTCGCCTTCCCGATTCTCGATTTGACGTCCTCGTCGTCCGTTCCTCCTGTAGTTGAGACAATGCTTCCTAGATAAGTGAATGAAGTAACCTCTTTCAAATCATCCCTCCCGTTGATGGTGATTGGCACTGGATGTAGCTGTTGTCTTTGTTGTTGTTGGTTGGTTATTTTCATAACCTCCGTGTTGTCTATGTTCACCTGGAGTCCTGTCTTTGCTGCTTCTTCGACCAGTTTGTCGGTTTTCCACATTTACAATAGGGGTAATATCACTCAATGGGGATTTTCAAGCTACTCAAATAGGGGTAATGTCAAAAACATGCAGCATATAAAATGGAAATAATAATAATGATAACAGCTGAGGTAATAATAATAATATAAGTGAAAATTGCCGTGGGCTTGTTTCACACAGTATTGTCGATGCGGTATAGAAATCTTAGCATGTTTAAAAATATTGAACATAATGTTCTCTTTTCATAATATGGTGAGGGAAAAAACAAAGATTACAGCAGTCATAGAGATGTTTGGTGTTTGCAGTTATGAAAGTAAAACAAAGAAGCAGCAACAGGACCATAAATATAATAGAAATAATAAAAGTAAAACTTGAAGGTATATAAGGATGGATGGAGGAAATTGTTTATTTACTAGATGAAAAAAGGTTAGTTAATATTCTTGCCTGACACTATTTTCATCACATAAAATACGTGCCAAGTATGGTATCATAAAATTTTTATACGTAGACGTGCGAGCATACAGTTATCTGAAGTTACTTCTTGTTCTACCTGACGAGATGCAAGGTGAAAGCTGAGGGTGAAGTGGCTGCTCCAAGTCAGACAAAGTCCCTTTAGCAAATTTATTGCACGAAGTCAAGTGCCTGTCGATAACGAACAAACCATCTTAGATCCAGCTAATAAAGACTGCAGAGAAGAGGTTGGAGTGCCAATGTGCTGCTGAGGTCCTGTGTACTCCTCGAAACCTAAGCGAATAATACATATATATATATATATACATATATGTATCTATAAAAATATTTTCTAAGTGTCTTCGTTTGTTTCTCTTTCGTCATTTATAGGTGTCTTGGTCTAGGTCGACCATTTGTAATTGAAATCAATAATTATGCAGTATTACCATCAGAAATAGTTCGTAAATGGTCGATCAATAATAATGCTGTTGGTGCAGAATCTATTGAAATCGATCCATCTCAATCATTGGATTTACTGAAATTAGCATCGTTGGTCAATTCAAACACACAGGATAAAGTGTATATAAGAGATTTACAGGTATGTTTTTTTTCTGAGGTAGTAGTTCACAACTTCGCGGTACCGATTAGTCAGCTTCTAACAAACTGGGTTAGTATGTAATTCCATAATAATATGAACTGTTATGTGGATCGATGGTTCAACGGCAGAATACTACTCGCCAACCCCACCGAAAGTTGTCTTCAGGTTCGATTCCCAGCCGGTGTAATCCTAAACCTCACCACCTCACCTGAAAGAAGGGGAAAGTAGGGAGTGAGGCTTGGGTTAGATTATTGATAAGCGTCAATCAATAAATATTGGGCAAATTATGCACTATCCCGTCGTACAGCGTCAGCATTAAGCAATTGTTCTTACAATCGATGACTTAGGGGATGATTCTCATTGGTCGGTTTTCGACATAGAACTTTGCACATATGTGCAGCCGTTCAAGTCGTCACACTCCATGTAGCACACAAAGGAAGAGAAGAAAGTAGGAGAAATGCATAATATAGTCAGTAAACAGAGGTGTGAGACAAAGGAATAGTAATAACGAAGAGCAATATAGTTTCATTGGAAATCATAAGTCACAAGGAGTGGATGCATCTGCGCCACTGAGAACGATTTTGAGCCATATCACCAATTGTTTCCAACCATTGGTTTCTACCGTCCCGAGGACCCCAACCAGTGAGGAAGTCTACACCTTCCTACGTGGCTTAGACTAACTGTTGTAGATTTCATTGACTGGTGCCATGTTTTGGTTTGACCGCCGCTATCTCTTTTCCAGCCTGGCCCTATATGAGCTAACATTGCCCATTTTCGAGGGAGGCGATGACTAGGCATACGGAACACATGTCCTAACCATCTCAGTCGATGTAATTTCACAGTCTCGTCGACTGATTTTCCCTCCTTACCTGGCACTCTACGCCTAACCTAAATATTGCTCACCTTATCATACTGTGGTGAGAGCTGGCTGCTAGCCAAAGTTGGTAGACAGTAATTGAGGTCAGTGTTTATGTCCCCAATATTGGTGGTGAGAAAATGAGAACAAAGGCTTTGCGTAGGCGGATACAGTTAGCATATGGATGATCTGACACAGCCACAAAGAGATTCAAGGTTAACGTTCTGTGAGAAACAACCAATCAAAAGACTGTATTTTCTGCTAACAATAATCTACAATAATGTACATTAAAATCTATAAATATGTGTTGATTTTCCTTAATAAATGATCTGTTGCCTGGCCCTTGTCTTCTGTTGTTACAATACCACTTCACGCGGGAGATAGAACGCAGACACCTATGATCGAAGACAGCTAATCTTTTCATGTCTTCTGCTCTCAATGGCCAGGTCTCACATCCATAAAGGAGGACGGAGTGGACTGTTGAGCAGTACACACGCCCTTTGGTCGATAGTCGGATATCACGTCTACGCCAGAGACGGCGTAAACTGGCATATGCGAACCTAGCCCTCTGTATCTGTGCTGAGATTTCGTCGGAGATTAACCCGTTGGGGCTGATGGTACTTCTCAAGTAAGTGAAGTGGTCAACGTGTTCTACCACTTCACTTCCTATTTCTAATCTAGGGGTCGGGATGATTTTAATACATGACTCAATGAAAGAGAATGATGCTCAGGAGGGCATCGTGTGCTTTTGGAAGTGTATAGGCAGTTGATACTTCCCGGCTGCTGCCCACACCGTGGAAGTTGATTGATTCTTCGGGTACCTGAAACAGAAAGAGAGTTAGTATTGCGTGACCACAGAGCCCAGGGGACAACTGTTTGATGTCGGCCGGTTACACACGGCCTGTATGAATTGGTTTCTTGGACTGAGACCGTATTAATAACGTAATAATAAGTTACGGACCACCGTAGGTGGAATAAGTCGGGATGTACACTTTTTGGGGTCGACCTTTTCTAACCTCCTCCCTCCCTCCAGAGTGGAGAGATAGCATAGCTGACTGGAATGCTGGTTGTCATCTGAGGGAAACACCGTACTGCGGCTGTTACATCCCTGTTCCCCAACAGTACGACTTCGCCCACAAACCCTCAGCAAAGTGTAAACAGAAAAAATTCTTACGCTATGCCGGTAACTGCTTTTAGTCTAATCGCTATCTTAACAATCCTCCTGGCATGGTAGGGCTTGCAGGAACAATAGTTGCAGCCAGTGTAGCTTGTGAAGGCTGTGAAATTACACTGACTGATATGGTTAGGACATGTGTTCCGTATGCCTAGTCATCGCCTCCCTCGAAAATGGGCAATGTTAGCTCATATAGGGCCAGGCTGGAAAAGAGATAGCGGCGGTCAAACCAAAACATGGCACCAGTCAATGAAATCTACAACAGTTAGTCTAAGCCACGTAGGAAGGTGTAGACTTCCTCACTGGTTGGGGTCCTCGGGACGGTAGAAACCAATGGTTGGAAACAATTGGTGATATGGCTCAAAATCGTTCTCAGTGGCGCAGATGCATCCACTCCTTGTGACTTATGATTTCCAATGAAACTATATTGCTCTTCGTTATTACTATTCCTTTGTCTCACACCTCTGTTTACTGACTATATTATGCATTTCTCCTACTTTCTTCTCTTCCTTTGTGTGCTACATGGAGTGTGACGACTTGAACGCCTGCACATATGTGCAAAGTTCAAGTGAAAAACAGACAGACAGACAGTGTAGCTTGTTGGGTCATTGCGATATGCAAGCCCGGTGACCACCACGTCACGGTAGCAGCTATCGGTCGGGAATCGTATACATAGATCGCAATTCTTAAGAAGGACTTCCGAAAAAGTTATACTGCTTTACGAACTCGTTCATTAATTTGTAATAGGAAGTATGGGGTATTTGTTTTTCCTTTGATTGATGACAGTTATTAACGGTGTTGGAATCCTCGGGGTGCTCATTTCATCCATTTGGGAGTGAGTGAGTGAGTAAGTGAAACTTGAAACTTATCACCTGTTGTTTCAAGCACCAAAGCGTTATCCACTTAGACCACACAAGAGTCACTACCTGTACAACGGCTATCAGTTATTTTTATCATTATTATTATTGCATTCCAGTAAACAGGGAAATCCAACTTGAATTAAAGGAGCATCATCTGCTGATTCGAAACACTGTGTATATTTCACTTCCCTCCGATATATTTTTGATGTCTATTTGATAAATAAACCCTTAGTTATATATGTCCAAAACAAAGTTCACTTGTAACAGTTTGGAAAAATTCGGTTATTGGGTATATGATATTCATTATAATAAAGGTTTTCTTGTATTTCCCAATGAATGAAAAACAAAACGATAGTGTTTTTACTTACGTTTCGCTATTTAATGCTAATAGCTTAAACCGGAATTTACAAAATCTCAGCATATATATAACAAAGAGTTAAGAGGTGAGAAAATAGACTTAGGTTAAGTTAAAAGGACATATTGGAAGTCAAAATAACAATGAAGATCACTAAACCAAATAACAAAGGTAATAGTACATCTGTTATGATATCAAAACAAAGTTTACTAACTTGATCATCGTTCGTCAGTATGGGGGCATTTTTCGTTGTCAAGTTGGTCAACTGATAAAGGTAACAAAATCAAAACCAAGTGTAGATTGTTGGATTTGATCAGTGTGTAAAATTATAAAAGTAGTGTGTGTTTGTTTACATAGTGAACTTGCTTATCACATTCGTGTTGATTTTGTCACTTCATGGGAAAGAGAGGTGTTGTAACCAGGTCAGATTCTATTTTAGTCCATCATTCAGACACTATTTAGGCAATTTGGATTCCACTTGATATGAAGTGCTTCTGATGATGTTATACGTTCTTTGTGATTTCTGAAATTTTTCTGGATGATGATTTCAATATTGTCAAAATCAATTTTGTGGCCTGATTCTATAGTGTGTAGACAAGCTATGTCTGGCTGATGATTTTTCAAGCTTTTCTAGTTCAACTGGATTTCTCGGTGGTCGAACAGAAGCGGCTCTACGGTGTTTATTTCTTCTGATTTTGATTTTTCTCTAGCGTGGTTTGTCTGATGTATATCGCATCACATTCCAAGCATTTTATTTTATAGACACAATTAGATAGAGAATCTTTAGGGATTTGGTCTTTTATATGGACAAGGTTGTTTCGTAGTGTGTCTGATGTTTTGAAGAAAACTCCAATGTCGAGCTGATTGAGTACTCTTCTGATATTGTCTGACGTCTCAGCTCTATATATGAAATGACGACTGTTGAGGTCCATGTTTTCGGAATGCGTTTTCGGCTAAACTTAACGTCTGTGTTGATGAAGTTCCTTGGGTAGTTGTTTTGCTTGACCTAAGTTCATTTTCTCACTTCTTAACTCTTTGTTATATATATGCTGAGATTTTGTAAATTCTGGTTTAATATTACTACTTTGATAAAGCTATTAGCAGCAACATTAAATAGCGAAACGTCAGTAAACACAACAATATCGTTTTGCTTTTTTTCATTCATTGGGAAATACAAGTAAACCTTTATTGTAATAAGCCCTTATTTGTCGAATCCTCCTCGCTATCGCTTGGCTGTTTGATGCTAAAGCCCTTTTGTTGCATATATATGCACACACACTATTTCACTGTAGACTGGATGTGGAATAAAGTGATAGAGTAGAGAGTTTGTGTGTGTATGTGTGTGAAATAGAAAGATTGATAAGCGAAGCTTTATTCCTTAGAAAAATGACGCAAAACACATGGTTTCACATCTGTTCCAGATATCTGAAGAATTTTGTCACTTATTGATTGAAGAATAGAACATGGGCACTATATGATGATAGATTATAATTCCATCATTTTGTAAAAATTCCTTTACATTCCCAGTGGAAAATAGGGTGGCTTCAAGCTAGAGGCTTCAATTTTCGGTAGCAAGTGGTGTTTGCTTTTACGGGATGGGGTTGCTAGCCTTATGCTCAACCTTCACGCTTTACCAGCCTTATTACTGGCGTAGCGAGGTAAAGGAGTGTGTTGGTGGCCGGGGATCTAACACCGGACGACATGCGTGGTGGATGAGCATTCTACCGCTGTGCCACTGATGCATTATATGTGTGCATATAGTGATACAGTATTATTATTACTTCCTCATAACGTTTCGAGCTCCACTTATTGCTGAGCAGCAATCATTATCAAGTTATTCCCGTAAGTTTCACACTTTCTCTATATTAATCCATTATTTCTTATGCTCTGATATTATTGGTAATAGTGGTTTGGCAAGGGACAGACGAAAACAGTCTGTAGCTCCATTTTTTCATATTTAGTTGGTGATAGTGGTCATGTAGTGGAGAAAACGAGAGCTTTCAAGGTAATCCATCTCACTCCCACCGAGTCTTTCCAATAGACTTCGTATTCGTCTACTGTACGCACACAGCTGAGGCGATAGGCATTCGAACTATTAAGCCTAAACTATGCTCATTCAAAAGAAGTTCGTACAGCCATTATCCCTCCCTTGTTGGCCTATTAAGACATAACCAACTGATGACTTCTCCACCATGCCTTACTTATATTATATTTTCAACCCCACTCTCTTATCATCCTTTAATCTTATCACATCTTCATTAAAAACGTGTTTCATTTACTTCCCTTACAATCAGTCTAGCATTACTTAATCGGTTCATTTGTTCTTAATAGCCTTTATCGACTACCACGTCTACCTGAACATTTGTTTATTTGTTTAATCATGCTGTTTTTCGTTATTCGTGTTATCACGATTGCCTCACTTTTTCATCCTTGTTACTGATACAACCATTATCATTATTATTACCATTACTGTTATTACAACTAATTGCACAATATATATATGCACAACCTTATTATCCTATAGACAAAATACCATGATTGGTTTATATTTGAATTTTTATTTGTAAAGTTATGTAGGCTTAAATGTGTTGTTCTAAGTTTTGCTATAGGAATATTTAATAGTACTTTCAATATATCTGTAGTAATGGGTGTTGCGTCATTTCTATTGCACGTGTTAGATGTGTAAATTAGATGAATAAAGATGCATTGATCAATCTCTCCTTCCAACTACCTATAGTACTTCATATGAACTGTGATCGATATGTAACCGAATAGTTCCTAAATTATAATTGGGTGCCGAGTGAGAAGTAGACATATGTAAAAATTACATATTTGTAAAATCTCAGTGATATTGAAATAAGTAATTCCAACGTTTCTTGCGTTCGGCAAACTTGTCGGTCCAAACTTCTTCAGGGAAATTAATCGAAATTAACATGATCTGCTGAAGAAGCTGTGGCTTACACAGCGAAACGTTCAGAAAAATCTTGTTTTGATTTTCTTAACACGCTGGGATTAATTTAAATAATTTATAATGAATCAATCTGACTCGGCGCTCAAATTATTTCAGGAAGTTCGTAACACCTACAGTGTGGAAACCTATAACATAACAGAGGTTTATATGCATTTAAAAAGGACATCTCTTGTTTTTAAAAGAATCTTTGTCCAATTATATGAGTCATGGAACAGGCATCAAAATATAATAAACAAAATTGCATGTACTGTTATCAAAATTTGACCTCATACTTACAAATATTAGTCTACTTTTGTTAAACACTTTAAACATAATGTACTTTTATATATGTCCAAACCCAGTTCACTTTTAACCGTTTGCAACAATTTGGGCATTGGGTATATGATATTCATTATAATAAAGGTTTTTGAAAAACAAAACGATATTGTTGTGTTTACTGACGTTTCGCTATTTAATGCTGCTAATAGCTTTATCAAAGTATTATTAGACCGTAATTTACAAAATCTCAGCATTTATAAATAACAAAGAGTTAAGAGGTGAGAAAACAGAATTAGGTTAAGTTAAAACGGGACATATTGAAAGTCAAAATAACAATGAAGATCAATCACTAAATCAAATAACAAAAGTAATAGTGCATCGGTTATAATGTAAAAACAAAGTTTACTAACTTGATCATCGTTCGTTAGTCTGGGGTCATTTTTCGTTGTAAAGTTGATCAATTTGTTAAGATAACAAAACCTACTGAAGATTTTAACTTTCGATTTCTCGAGATGTTTGTCCGACAGACAAATCAAAATCAGAAGAAATGAACACCGTAGAGCCACATCTGTTCGACCACCGAGAAATCCGGTTGAACTAGGAAAACTTGGAAAATCATCAGCCATAGGTCTACACGCTATGCTATAGAATCAGGCCACAAAATTGATTTTGACAATACTGAAATCATCATTCAGAAAAATTTCAGAAATCATAAAGAACGTCTCATTTCATTAGAAGCACTTCATATCAAGTGGAATCCAAATTGTCTGAATAGGAATGATGGACTAAAACAGAATCTGACCTGGTTACAACACCTCCCTCCCCCACCAAGTGACAAAATCAACACGAATGTGATATGCATGTTCACTATGTAAACACACACTGCTTTTATAATTTTACACACTTATCACATCCAACAATCTACACTTGATTTTGTTATCTTTACCAATTGACCAACTTGACAACTAAAAATGGCCCCATACTGACGAACGATGATCAAGTTAGTAAACTTTATTTTGATATCATAACAGATGTACTATTACCATTGTTAGTTTAAGCCAGCCACGTAGGAATGTACAGACTTCCTGGTTGGTGTCCTCGAGACGGTAACAACCAATGATGGCTGGAGGCAATTGGTGATATGGCTCAAAGTGATCGTTCTCAATGGCTGGCGCAGATGCATCCACTCCTTGTGACTTATAATATCCAATAAAACTATATTGCTCTTCGATACTACTATTCTTTTTGTCTGATATCTCTGATTTGCATTTCATTCTACTTTCTTCTCTTGATTTATGTGCTACATGGGGTGTGGGGACTCGAACTGCTGCACATAGGTGCAAAGTTGTGTGTTGAAACCAGTTAGTCAGTCAGTATATTAAAGTCGTCATTTACACAGATCTTCTGTGTTGTGCTACATCTCCTCTTCATATCGTGTTTTTTTGTCTTCTTTTTGTGTCTCCCTTGTTTCTCCGCAATACTGGCGGTTCATTTTCTATCTCCCTGTTTGATGTTGAATCTATCTCTCGGATATTTGATATTTTTGTGCCGGTGAACGTCTCTTTTTACATACCTACTACTGATAAATTTTATCAGTAGTACACACCACACGAAAACTGTAAAAATTTGATTTTACTTTAACAAATTCTTTGTTTCGCCAATTCTTTTTTCTCTCTGTCTCCCCCGTCTAGTTGGTATCATCTGCAACTGCTTCAGCTAAAATCAAAGGAGGTGAAATGCAAAAGGCTAAATGTTATCGTGCACTATGCTGGTGTCCAAATGGTGGAATCACAACAGAGATGCTTATGAAGATGGAGAAGTATGCGCCATGCATATTTATTAAGACAGCAGCGAATAGCAATGGTGATGATAACAATAATAATAGCAGTAACGTCATTGAAGAAAAGCCTGTCATTCAATGGCCCTGTTCTTCATCGTCCTGTGGAACAAAAATTGGATTTGGTCCATTTGAAGTGAATCAACTTACACCATTACGTGTATTGCACAGGCGAGCATTAATGACTCGTAAACGTGCTATTCATCATGTCTGTTTTATGTCATATAAAGAAGCAATGCAAACTAATAATCCTGTGGTAAGTGGTGTAGAACTTTCTTTTAGATAGTCAAATCATTTTCCAAATGTTGGTTTTATAGGGATTTTTTTGTTTGATTGGTTGGAGGAATTCATCATGAGCTGATGAAGAGTCCCAAACTAGTAGGGCGAAACAGCTGTCCATTGCTCCCCTTTTTTCCATTGGTTCTCTAACTGATTTCAGCTCATGATGAAATCCTCCATGCAATCAAACAAAAAAATCCCTACAAAACCAATACTTGAAAATTAATGTTATGCTCATTAGCGACTGGCCGTATTCAGGCAGTGATCTGGAGTTCTAGTGGGAAGCCGTGACCAGTAGGGTACAGCAGGTTGAAGGTGAGGCAGTAACTCAAGCGAAGTAGTCAAGCCATGTCATGAATTGGCAGAATTTAGAATTCATGGGCTGGCCACTAGATAGGGTGGGTCCCAGTGGCTGCTGAATGGTCTACGAACTCGTTCACCTTGTAACCAGAAGGTCGTGGGTTCGAACTCTGGTGGTTGGTACGTATCGATGAAGAGTCCTGAACTGGGACGAAATATCTGTCTGACAGTACTCCATGGTGGTTTCCGATGGTTCTCTAACCGATGTCAGCTCATGATGAAATCCTTCAACCAATTTAATCATTTTTCATCTTGTAATCAACCAATAGTGTATTGTGTAGATTCGTTTTAAAGTGTTGATTTCAATTTAAAATTTGACATCTCAGAGAACCAGTGAGTACTGAACAGCTGTTTTGTTTTAGTTTAACAGAAGTAAGAATTCGTTGTTCATTGGGTTGTGTCCCAGTGGGTGAATGGTCAACGGCCTCGCATCGTAAACTGAATGTCTTGGGTTCCAAACCCCGGTAGTAGGTGTCATAGGCGAGTGCTAATGAAGAATCCCAAATTAGGATGAAACAACTGTCCAGTTCTGCCTGGTTTTCAGTTTTATTATTATTATTATTGTTCTCTTGGGTTCCGAGTGACACGTAGGGTTTCAACAGAACGTCTCCACTTTGTCCTATTCTTTGCGGTACTCTTTAGCTGTTTGGGCCCACAATCTCTCATCTCCTCTTCGTACAATTTACTCCATATCATCCTCGGACGACCCAATCTTCGTTTTTCATTCAGGTTCCACTCGAGAGCCTGGTGTTCGATGTCATTCGATGGTCTCCTCAGAATATACTCAATCCATCTCCATTTTCTTTGCCACATATGTTGAACGATCGGTTCTTGGTTGGTTTGTTCCCAGAGTTTTTTGTTGTTGATTCTCTCTGGTCATTTGATCTTCAATATAGAGAGAAAGTGGATGTTGATAAAAGTCTGCGACCTGTTGGAAATGCTTTTCGTGAAGAAATGACTGACTTGACATTTATGCTGAAAATCTGAATTTTTTGCTTATGCTTCGAAGTGCGGAAGATTTCCAAACTGGTTTCAGATTGGTGAAAGCGTATCTCGCCTTTCCGATTCTGACTTTGAGATCTTTGTCGGTTCCACCTGTAGTTGAAACGATGCTTTCTAGATAAGTGGAGGAGGCAACCTCTGTTAAATCTCTCCCGTTGACGGTGATTGGTGCTGGTTGTTGTCCCTGTTGATTGGTTATCTTCATCACCTCCATCTTCTCTATGCTCAACTGGAGTCCTGTCTTCGCTGCCAGCCTCTTCAGCCAGTTTGTTGGTATTCACTTGCAAGTCTTCGAGTTTGTGTGACATTAGACATATATCATCCACATGCGAAATCCAGATTTTCTAGAGTCTTCGTATAGGTCGTCCAGCGTATTCCTGACTCCTCGCCCCCAATCACAGTCTGACGCATAATCCAGTCCACCACAATTAAGAATATCATCGTGGGTGATAATAGGCAGGCAGGCAGCCAGCTTGTCTTACGACTGTATTCACTTTGAACGCCTCTCTGAGTTTTCCGTTGTGGATCACCTGACACGTGGCATTGTCATATAGCTGTTGAATGAGGTTGAGCATTGCACGCCATAGTGTTGAAGTAGTTTCAAAATCACTTCTCGGTCAACACTGTCTGTCGAAGGCCTTTTCGAAGTCGATAAAGTTGAGGTAGGGAGAGGTTTGACTACCATTCTATGCTTTGTTCCGTGATGATGATGCGTAGACTTGCAATTTCATCAGCACATGATTTGCCTTTCCTGAATCCAGCTTGTTCCGGTAGGTAGCGGAGTCCTGTATCCGCTGCATCCTTTATTCTCTTTCCAGGATGATGCTACTTAGTATTTTACTTGCAGTGGACAAGAGCATTATCCCACGCCAGTTCTTCCACAGGCCTAACTAGTTCGCCCTTCTTTGGCAGTTTGACCAGGTAGCATTTCTTCCAATCAGTAAGCACCTTTCCTTCTTTCCAAACTTTTTGCAATAATGGAGTGAGAACATCTTCCGTAACCTCTGGGAGCGTCTTAAGTAGGAATTCCGTCTGGTCCTGCTGCCTTCTCAGCCTTCAGTAGCTTGATCAAATTCAGGACTTGTGCTTTCATTGGAGGAGTCGTGTCCACTGGGAGGCAGTTCCGTGTGTGTTGTCGCTGGTGGTATTTCTGGGTGAGTTGCAGGTGGTGGTCGATATAAGAGTCCTTTAAAGTGATCAGCCCATTGTTTGATTTGTTTCTCCCTCTTGGTGATCAGGTTCCCTTAAACATCTTTTATTGGTTTCATCATCTGGCTTGGTTTCTTCTCGGATAGCGAGGAGCCTGGTTATCTGACATAATGTCCTGAGGTCTCTTTTACTTGCTGCCTGACTGTTCTGCTTCAGTCGCCAGCCAGTGTGTCTTAGAATTATCGTTTGTCTTTCCTAGCACTCTTCTCTTTATTCAGTGCAGTGTACATTGAACTCAGCTTCTCCTTCTGTTGTGTATCTTTGCATTGGGTCATCTCTTTCACCATTGTCCTGTCCTCGATTAGCTTCCAGATATCCGTTGACAGCCATTCCTTGTCTTGTCTCTTCCTTCTTCCTAGAACAGTTGTACACGTTTCCTTAAATATCGCTTTGAGAGAGTTCCAGTGTTCTTCCACACAGGTTTCCTCAGTGATGCCACATAGTGTGTCCGACTTTGCTCTGATGTCTGTAGCGAAGGCATCCATTGTAGTTTTGTCCTTCAGTTTCTAAATGTTGAACTTGAATTACAGTGGCCTGTCTCCATTTGTTTTCATGGATTTCAGTTTCAGCTTGAAGGTTCGTTGAACTAGATGATGGTCTGAGCCCACATCAGCTCACCTTCTCGACTTTTTATCCAGCAGACTGCGTCTCCACTTCTTTGAGATCGATATTAAATCTATTTGGTTTGTTGTATGTCCGTCAGGCGAAATCCATGTTGCTATGTTTTTGTACACGCTCTCTCCTATCACCAAATCTTTGAAAGAGAAGTTTGAGAATAATTTTCCGTTCTCATTCATTTCTCCGAGCGACAGCCTCTCGACCCATGATGAGTTCTCTTCCTGTATTATCTGCTCACAGTTCGGCAGGCATTCAAATCGCCCATAAGGATTTTGACCTCACTATTTGGGATGTTGTCCATTACTGTTTGCAGTTGTCTGTAAAAATCCTCCTTCTTTTCTTGTTCCGCGTTGTTTGTAGCATTGGATAATTGTAACCTTCCTTCCTTTTCATTTGAATCTTGCTGTCATGATCCTGGATGATAGTGGTTCCCACTGCATAAGGGCTTTGGCTGCCACTGGTGACATCATGACAGCCACTGCCTCAGTGTGTTTGTGGTTGTCATCTGGGTGACCGGAGTAGATTATTGAGTCTCCCGTTGACGATGTTATCAATCTACATCCATTCCATTTGCTTTCACAGATACCCAGTACTTCTCATCTCTTTGGCTATCTGGGAAGCCTGCCCAGTCTCGTGCATTGTGCGAACATTCCCCTTCCCCATTCTTTCTCTTGCTTTCATCGAGAGAAGACACATCGGATGACTTGCTTCCCGAAGGCTTTCACCAGCCCTCTGTGTCATTTTGCCTCTCCGATTCGAGCGAAGAATAAGATTTTTATTTGAATTGTTTTGAATTTTTAATATATTTACTGTGTGTTGAAGGTTTGAAAGATTTAATGGTGTGGGGTTGCTACCCCCGCAGCCAACCCTCTCTCTTTACCCAGGCTTGAGACCGGCTAGAAAACTAACAAGCTAGTTAAGTAGACAAGGTTATGATTATTAGTGGCAGTGATAACTTGTGCTCGAAACGTGGTCATCAGTAAATATTACTGCATAACACACTGCGTAACTTTATCAAAATAACAAATTTTTATCCATAATGGAGTTATACTCTACCAGCATAGTGCCCAAGTTTTTCCCTTATATAACCAATAATGCGAATGTTTTCGTCTGTTTTTTCCCCCACTAGTTTGATGATTTCAAATCATGGTCAAAATTATATTCAGAAGATGAACTTTTCCTGTTGGAGTTACGTTGTGAAGCTGGTACTTATGTTAAAGAATTTGTACATGGCGATCTTGGTCGATGTAATCCTAGTTTAGCAAGTATATTTGAATGTCATGTAGATATATTAGCGCTGGATGTGATTAGCGTTGAATTGGATTGGCCGAAACGTTTACAAAATCCATTCACCCTTTGACTTTGACTAAGAGAAAAGATGTACAGAAGCCTCTTTTTTTCTTCTTATTCTCTACTTTTGTAGTAATAATTTATTGATTTGTATGGAAAAATTTCGATTTTTGTCTCTTTGTAATATTTAATTGGTGGATGGTGACTAGCAGTGGAATCCAGGATAACGCGCATTTCGTCCTATTTGGGACTCGTCAGCTAGCTGGATGTACCTGCATTTCCCAGTGAGTGATGATGTTCCCGCCGAGGCTCGAACCCAGTGCCCATAGTTTCAGACGCCAATGCGTTATCCACTAGACCCTTTGGGCCAAGAGAGCCACCTCGTATAGTTTATAAGAGCGATTCAATTATTTCATTGTTGAGTCATTGATTCAAAACCAGTCCTACCTACACGTATATGATGAGCAGTCTTTCGTTGTTGGCGCACGATCAACTTCGAAAAATAATATCATTAATAAAATACTAACCTGCTACATTATTAGCTTCAAGGTGTGCGTAATTTGTGCGACAGCTAGAATAATGCCCAGACATCCAGACCAAAGCAAGTGATTATCTTAAGGGGTGAACCCCTAACCCAACCTCTAACTTGAAGTCTGATCCACGAGACAGTGGAACAGTGTCAGGGAGCTACATTCCCATTGTTGACAGTGGTGACCAAAACAGCTGTATAAGCAATTCCACCATTTCGAATTCTGGAGCCCATGTCGGTCAGTCGGTCGGTTTTCGACATAGAACTTTGCACATATGTGCGGCAGTTCAAGTCGCCACACTCCCTCCATGTAGCACACAAAGCAAGAGAAGAAAGTAGGAGAAATGCATATTAGAGACAGTAAACAGAGGTGTGAGACAAAGGAATAGTAATAACAAGGAACAAAACAGTTTCATTGGAAATCATGAGTCACAAGGAGTGGATGCATCTGCGCCAGTTATTGAGAACGATTTTGAGCCATGTCACCAATTGTTTCCAACCATTGGTTTTTACCTTCCCGAGGACCCCAACCAGGAAGTCTATACCTTCCTACGTGGCCTAGACTAACTCTTGTACATTTCATTGACTGGTGCCATTTTTTCGTTTGACCGCCGCTAGCTCTTTTCCAGCCTGACCCTATGTCAGCCAACATTGCCTGTTGTCGAGGAAGGCGATGACTAGGCATACGTAGCACATGTCCCAACCATCTCAGTCGATGTAATTTCACAGTCTCGTCGACTGATTTCCCCTTCTCCTTACCTAGCACTCGACGCCTAACCTCAATATTGCTCACCTTATCATACCACTTCACACGGGAGATAGAACGCAGACACCTATGATCAAAGACAGCTAATCTTTTCATGTCTTCTGCTCTCAATGGCCAGGTCTCACAGCCGTAAAGGAGGACGAAGCGGACTGTTGAGCAGTACACGACAGAAGACAAGGGTCAGGCAACAGATCGTTTATTGAGAAAAAATCAGCAAATATTTATATATTTTTATATGCATTATTATTCGTTATTTTAGTTGAGAAGCAACGTCTTCTGATTGGTTGTTTTTCTTGCTCAAGGCTATTCCGCATTACTTGTGACCGTTTCTTAGAAAGTTAAGCCATGTATGTGCGAATCGTATTTGCACAAGTTAAGTCTGATGTGATTGGTTGGTGAGTTGCTCAAGGTTAGGCTTTGTTATTGTTTTTTTTTCTCATGATCCCGATTCGGGACGTCAACATAGACGTAAATTGTTGTCTACATTTTTGGCTTGTTCGCAGTCAGCTCTCACCACACATGTACATCGTAGGAGGCTTATGGTTTTTCAGCTCTCCTAGGTAGACTAACACGTCCACCAGTCTGGTGGTGAACGTCAGGCGGGAGGAGGTGTTTAACAAAAAGACACACTCTGTAGTTTATAACACAATATTATTTTGTATTCTCACAAATAATTTTATATCTTCCGATGTAACAAAAGCAATAATAACGTACAATAAATGCAATGTTATATCAAAAATAATGTTTGTTTTTTTAAAAAAAGGGTATAAAATCTAAAGCAAGACCATGAATGAATACACTGACAACGAAACAAGGAAACAATTAAAAAGTTCTCGAATGTATCCAATGCTTTAATTCAACTGGACAATTTGGATAAGTGTCTAGGCAAGAGGATAAAATATCACTGTCAACATAACAGAATAATGGACGATAATTTGGTAAGACAGAAGCAGCTGTAGACGAATTCCAACCGCCTGTTGTTGTTGTTCTATACCCACCGACGACGCCATCATTAGCACTCAAGGTAGATAAGCCGAATGATGCACTGACAGCTGATTTACCAGAGATAATCAGCTCACTGTCAATTAAATTGTCCAACGCTTTCATTACAACTGGTTTATCGTATAAATAACCTGGGCAGCTTGAACGACAAAACTTTAAATATTCTAAAAACAAAAAGACGAAGAAAAAAAAAGCACATTTTAAAAGATAAGACATAATTTTTGAAAATCACTATTAACTGAAGATGGTGTGATTCACTGGCTTCAGTAGTTCACCTAATGAGATCTGGATTGGAATTCTGCTCCATCATCTACTTCAATTTTGATCACGAACTAACAACCCTCAGGCAACTGTTGGAAACCACTAGGAAGTACTATTGGATAACTGTTTCGTCCTAGTTTGGGACTCTTCATCGGTACGCACTTATGATCCCAACAGGAGTTGAACTGCAGGGTATTTAGATTACAAGACGGGCTTGTTGATCATCAAACCAATAGCACAGGATCCGATGGTCCATGAATTCTGACTTTTGTCAATTTTTCCAGTACTCTCTGGTTTTCGATGGCTATCTATAAGTGAACTTGGTTCACGATCTACCAAAACTTTGAAACTAGTCTAGTGCCTACAGGATGAAGTTTCCTGAAGTGCTAGTAAGAATTTGTGACCAACGGGGTCCACCGCCTTGTGTGTGTGTGTGTGGACCAATGACACTGGCTCCCAGTTCCACGATATATCACAAATTTACAGAAGTTAGAATTCATAGGCCGTTGGATTACGTCCCAGTGGTTGAATGGTCAGCGACCTTCCCTTGCAAACCTGAAGGTTCTGGGTGAAACCTCTGGTGGGGTAGTGAGTGTTTATTGCTGAAGAGTTTCAAGCTAGGACGAAACAGCTGTCCAGTACTCCACGGTTTCTAGTGATTCTCTAACTGGTGTCAGTTGGTGATCAAATCTGAAATCAATTAGATCCTCGCAAGCCCCAATACCATCTACTTCAGTCTGGGCAACTAAGTAGGATCATCATTTCTTACATAATAAGTATGGCTCACGATCTGTACACATGATACGTCTGTCTTTGGTAACTGAATTTCAACAACTGGCTAGTATAACTGTTTCTGAAAGAAGCCTTTGGTGGGATCATGTCACTGTACACAATTTCATCGATAGGACGTGTTTCCAGGAGATAGAAAACAATTCACCAGTAATCAAGTCATTCCATTTGATGATTAGTTGCATAAATGGGGCCGTAACCTGAACAAGTATGAAGCACTACTGCTAGGTATAGACTTGACTACTTCTCAGAAAGATCTAGGTTTCTTTTCAAATCCAGCTATCATTGATGCGATGAACCTGATAATTCTAATAACAATGAACTGTTACAGGATTTCATCATGAGCTGACATTGGTTAGAGAACCATTGAAAAACCTGGGAGTACTGGACAGCCAGCTGCTTCGTCCTAGTTTGGGACTCTTCATCAGTACGCACCTGCCACTGTTCGAACCCAGGACCTTCTGGTTACAAGGCGAGCTCGTAGACCATTAAGCCACTGGGAGCCGATCGAATGGCCCATAGATTCTAACTTCTGCCAATTCACGACATAGCGCCACCGCTAGCCAATGTCATCGCTGGTGATTATCTGTTCTTACACCCAACCTGCTGCACCCTACTGGTCACGACTTCCCACTAGAATCCCAGGTAACTACCTACCTGAATAGGGCCAGTTGCCAGTGAGCATCTCATTGATATTCAAGTATTGAATACTTGAATAACAATGAAGAGCATTCAAAAGTTGCTTTAACGCAGTCGGGAATACTTTTCTTTGCATAAGGTGGAAATTAAAATACTATGTTTAACAGTGAAATAGACCTGTGGTGAGAGCTGTCTACTAGCCAAATTGGTAGACAGTTAATTTACGTCAATATTTACGTTCCCAAGATTTGTCGTGAGAAACAACCAATCGGAAGACTGCGTTTGTTTGTTTACATATTCGTAGTAATGTACATGAAAACATATATAAATATGCGTTGATTTCCTTAATAAATGCTCTGTTGCCTGACTCTTGCCTTCTGTCGTTACAGACCTAAGTAAATTTGGCAAATTCTAAGGATCAGTGTTTACGATAGATAGTATATTAATAATAATAATAATAAATATTATCGCCATTATCACGAATGAGTTCCTCAAACAATATACACCTTTTCACAGCTTCGTTACTCTCCAGTAAAAAAGGAAATTTAGTAAAGACCCTCAGCCACAGAGTTAGAGCTATATGCTCAGAAGACGTAATTGAAGATGAACTAAGCATTGCATATGATACCTTGATTGAAAATAGCTACCCCGACTAATTTATCAAGAAATACATGACAAAGGAAGCGGAAAAGGACTACGCACTATCCGTAAACAAGAAGCCTTTATACATACGACTGCAATTCAAGGGCGATATACCATGTGAGTTAATTACGAAGAAATTCAGAAAATCAGTTCAATGAACTTTTAATGCTGGAAAACTACACGTATTATTCTCTACACGACCGATGGTGATTCCTCGACTGAAAGATGAAGTACCTGGATTAGCCACTTCTTCCAAGTGTATCTACCAATTTAACTGAGCTTGTGGTGGAGTGAGTTATATCGGCCGTTTCTCTAGAAACTTGATTTTTCGTGCTCCTTCCGGAACATCTACTTGTGTGGTTAAGCAGAGGTGTAGTTAGAAGCATCAATAGTTCTATATTAGAACACCTGGCATAAACCGGCCGGCCACAAAGCCAGCATTGAAGAATTCTTCTTTATCATGTACCGGGTACCAAATAAATTGTCAAAAACATCGAGGTACCACAGGCTCCAAACAACGGAGGCCATCGCGA